AAAAAAAAAAAAAAAAAAAAAAAAAAAGAACAAACCCCACTAACTCCAGAAAAAAAAAACAGTACATCAACCACCACCACAACAAGAACCTCAACCACACAAACAACAACCACCTCCGCCATACAAACAAAACACCAAACCTTCCCTCTCGCCCACCCGCCACCACCCAAACACACTCTCCGGCTAACCGCCAATCTCACACTCCAAATCCAACAATTAACGCCGACCTCCCGTCGCCCGATCCCAATCCTCGAAGTCTACCAACCCACGCGCTTCGGCAAGACCGTGGGCGATGCGCCGCGCAAGTTGACCGCGAGGGATATGTACATTGTGCAGAGCGATGGGTATGCGCATCTACCTGAGGCGGAGGAGGAGCAGCAGCAGAAGAACCAGGGGGGTGGTGCTGTCGGGGTGATATATATGCCGACCAAGGATGAGAATAATAGGAAGATGGCGTTTCCGGGGGGTGGGGTGTGGTTTCCAATGGGCGAGGGGTGGGAGGTTAGTGTGACGGTGAGGGGGGGTTATCGGTTTATGTTTAAGGGGAGGGCGGATGGAGTGAGTCGGGTGGTGGAGTGGGAGAAGAGGGTGGCCAAGGGGAGGTCGTCGTCCGAGGCGTCGGAGGCCAGTGAGATGAAGCCGGATTCGAGGTTTACGCTGAATATTGCCGAGTCTGGACTGAGGCGACCGTGCTTGGCGACGTTGACGAGGCAGGGGTTGAAGGTTGGGGGGTGGGATCGGGCACAGAGGGAGTATTTGGCTTCGTCATTACGGTGTGAGAATGAAGTGGAGGAAGATGCAGCGCTGTATACGTCCATCTTGACGATGGGAGTCTATGTGGCGGCGCAAGAGGGTTGGTTGAATCAATATCTCTAACGAGGGTTGTTATGGTCATTGGTTCTTCCATTGTTTCATTCTGATATATTGTTATTTCTACCCGGCTTAAGAATGTATAGCAAGCTTGATACCCCCCCCAAATCACCAGTTTACAATTAGTGATTGAGACCCAGTTCCACACCCTTGATCTGCAATGCCAATAGGCGTGAGTAGTACCGACACAACGCTAGATTGCCGCCCATAAACCAGAAGCCGGGGTGTCCGCTGCGCTGCCAGATCGTGCGCATCTCGCCTTCTTCGTTGTATCCCCAGACACTCTGGATGCGATCCGCTACCTCGTCGCCGAAGATGATGCGCGCCTGTGTTCTCATGTTCTGGTAGCCCGTCGCGAAGATGATCTCGTCAGCCTCCAGCTGGGAGCCGTCGGCGAAGCGCAATCCCTCCGGAATGATCTCGGCGATCTCCTGTCCCTGTTTCACCTTGATCTTGCCGTCGACAATGAGCTGACTGGCTCCCACGTCGATGTAGTAACCGCCACCGCGCTGGAGGTATTTTATGAGCAGACCTGCATCATCCGGTCCACGGTCCACTTTGAAGCCCGCCTTCTCCAATCCGTCCAGAATCGCCTGGTCATTCTGGTTTTCGACCGCGGTGACTTTCTTCTGCTGCGCCTTGAACAGTTCTGACGGAATACTCCACAGGAACAAGTCGGCATCTTCAACCTGGGGGCCACTCTCTTCGTACAGGCCCTTCAGCCCAATATTGGTGATGGATCCGGAAGAGACGACACATGTCGAACTACGCTGGACCATGGTCACGTCGTATCCCTTCTCAAAATAGTCATGGGCAATATCATGACCCGAGTTACAGGATCCGACCACAACTGCCTTCTTGCCTTTGCTGTTGGGGTCCGCACCGGGGAACTCAGAACTGTGACAGATGCGCGTCCCCCGGAAAGTCTCAACGCCCTTGAAGTCAGGCAGGTTCTTCTTGCCCGAGTGACCAGTTGCCTGGATGACATGACGCGGATTGAACGTACGAGTCTCGACTGTACCGTCTTCCTTCTGTCGTTGGAGTTCAATGGTCCATACACTGTTTGCATCGCTCCAAGAGGTAGACTGGAGCTTGGTTTTAGTCCACACGTTCAGCTCAAGAAGCTTGGCGTAGCATTCAAAGAAATCTGCGAGTTTATCCTTGGGCGTGAAGATGGGCCAGTTTGCAGGGAACTGAAGGTAGGGCATGTGGTCGAACCAAACAGGGTCATGCAGAACCAGCTGGTGATAGCGCCTACGCCAGTTATCTCCGATGCGATCTTCTTCGTCAATGATCAGAGAATCGATATCGAGCATTTTCAGACGGGCAGCGATTGTCAGTCCAGCTTGGCCAGCGCCTGGTAAAGTTAGCTTATCCGGGGACAGAAGGAGGTCAGGAACAGTATACATACCCACGATTAATACCGTCGGGCTCTTCCCGTCATAGTTGCAATCAGCGGTGCGCCTATCCTGCCAATTCCGCCTATCATGATGCTCACCATGCGATACGCCCACCGGCCGGTGATGATTAATCTTCTCCTCACTCCCATTGACCTGCAACAGTGACGTGAAGAATGTGAAAATCTTCCACTCGCCATCCTTCTCGGCCAGTCGGACAACACCTCTTCCATTTCCTGTGTCGGTAGTGACCTTAATGAAAAATTGAATTCCGGTTACATCGCCAAAGGCATCGATAGGGAAAACAGCCGGTGCATGAAAGGCGGATGAGCGGTCGATTTCTACTTGTAGTAAACGGGGGTTTTCCTGTAGGAACTTGGTGATGTTCTCCTGGCCCTTGATGGTGCGGAAGTCCCATGTGAGGACGAGATGGTCTCGCCAGTAGCCATCTTCAAGGAACAGTTTCGAGATTTCCTGAGGTTGCTTCAGTCCCAAGGCCGTGTTCAGCAGTCGTATCACCTCCGACGCAATCTTGTCGGCGTCAATACCCGTTGAGGAACATGTTGCAGGAAACGTCCCTAGGGGAACGTTGAAGGAACCGGGCTCGATTCTGTCTCTTGAAGCGAGGGCCATTACGTTGTTCTCTGGTCTGATAGAGATGAAGAAGAACAAAGTCGGGAGAGATTTATGGGTGCGGGGAATAAGACGAACGCGAGGGCGGGGTAAATGAAGACAGCATGGACTCTTCTTCTTTATAAATCCTCTCCCATCACCCCACTTTGCCTACAGCTGTCCGTTGGAGCTTCAGCTGTACGCGGTGGTTCCACAGCACTTTAGTCATGGTGAGTACTAATCAGTGCGGTGGGTTTCTCTTCAATCACTCGTTCCTTTCAAAATTGCCCTCAAGCCACATTGTCTCACCATTGTGGAAGGACACTCATTCGCACCACAATCTTGCTCCAACCCCGGCTATTCTTTCTTCGACGAACAGAAATTAGGTAGACCTCCAGGGGCTAGATTCCAATAGCTACCCACGTACCCCTCAGTGACATCTGCACCATTGAGTTGTTAAGCCACTAGCGCTGATCCCTTACTATAAGAGGCATAGATAGGCTGCGACGCACGATTCTGGAGAGCCCATTACAGGGATTTCGCGCAGAAGATGTGTTCAGGACATCGGAGAATGGGTCTTACGGGGCACATAGTGGTTCCCATGTGACCGGCTGCATGAAGGCAATCGGAAGCACACCGGCATCGGGCCAAATCCGTGATATTGATGATATCCCGATATCCTGCACAAACCCCACACACAGCCTCCAACATGGTTGTTGTTGTCCTCACGACAACTACAAAAACAACAAAAAAAAGATACTCATGAGATGCTCCCACGCGGATTTGAACCGCGGACCTCATGATTACTAGTCATGCGCTCTACCAACTGAGCCATAGGAGCTTCGGATGAGATCTGCTTCCACGCGGATTCGAACCGCGGACCTCATGATTACTAGTCATGCGCTCTACCAACTGAGCCATAGAAGCTGATTGGATGTGCTGCTTTGCTCTTTAATGCTATATAAAATTTCACTAAAGTGAGCTGGAAGGATACGGTCGGACTGGATGGATCTGTACCGGACAGAGAACATCCTAAGCACCTTCTCCATCTGTGACCTACCGAGTGGTTGTTCCAATGGCTATATTTCATGGTTCGCGGTATATCTGCGGCTTTTATAGCTGACCAGCTTATGATTCTGCATAAGCATTTATAAAGTTATGAAAGGTTCACTCGGCCTCCTCTTCGGCAACTCAACCGGGATCGTTCATATGTTAGATGACCTGAGCTAATCTTTTTTTCAAGAGAAGTCCCACTTACTTGTATCGAATCGCATATCCCATCGACTGACTACTATACATAATTCGGATAAATATCCTCATCATCCCCGCAATCTGCCCCAGTTTCCTCCACAAGCTCACTACCGAACCCCATACCCGAAACCTTAAAACCAAGACTAGTATCAAACATCAAACCGCAATTCCCTCATATCAGTCCTCGATATTGGATATTCTCTACACAAGAAAGAGGGGTTTATCAACTGAAACCCACTCGACGGATGAGAATTAGCCAAATCAGCCAAGCCCGAGGATTCTCCGGCCCCCTCGACGAGTTGAAGATCACTGGCAGCGTGGTCGACGTATGGTGAATAATCTATCCAGTGGGATCCATATTCCGCGCTATACTGCATCCTGGGGGCGTTTCCTCATTGTTATTTGTTGTTGCGGGCGATACTAAGCCTCCAGGAGGCGGGGTGTACTGACGATTCTGAATTGAGTTGGCTATGGATGATTGTGCTAAGACCTTAGGCTGCTTTTCCAAAATATTATGCCCCCTATAAGTACCATCGAGGGGAAGGTGAGAAAAAATGTTTTCCGGAGTTTTCTGGTCAATCATCGCAATGGTTTACGGTAGAATACGATCTGTGGCCTCCACGGCCGCCGTGACGGGCCTTTTCACAGCAACTGTCGCTCAGGCTGGGAATTGCTCGTCATCTGTAATCTCCCATCCATCTATACCTGAAGGGCAGGTCTTGAATATCTCTGCCATTCCGGTATCGAATTATGCATACAATGAGTCTACACTAGACTTCTGCAATGTGACGGTTACATACACCCACCCAGGGAAGAACGATACCATCCATGCCACCGTCTGGCTCCCCTTCTCTAACTGGAACAACCGACTCCAAGGCTCCGGCGGAGGCGGATTCGCCATGAGATCGGAGGATGCTGTCCTCGCGGCAGCTGTGGCCCAGAACTATACGGTCCTAGCCACGGACGGAGGCCACGACATGAACTCGCAGAGTTCAGCATCATGGTCCCTGGACGCGTCAGGGAATGTGAACATGGCTTTACTGGAGGATTTTGCCTACGTTGCTCTCGGCGACGCCGCGACGATCGGTAAACAGATCGCCACCAGTTTCTACGGTCTTGCTCCGCGGTTCTCGTACTGGAATGGGTGTTCGACAGGCGGCAGACAGGGTCTGATGCTCGCACAGCGATATCCAACCGCGTACGACGGTATCATGGCCGCCGCCCCGGCAATCAATTGGGCGAGTTTCCTGGTCGCGGAGTTCTGGCCCCAGTTTGTCATGAGCCAGCTTGGCACTTTCCCTCCGACTTGTGTCTCGGATGCTATTACTGCTGCGGAGATTAAGGCATGCGATGATATCGACGGGGTTGTGGACGGGGTTATTTCTGCGCCTGACTTGTGTGATTTTGACCCTTTTACTACGGTTGGCACGAGGGTCAATTGCAGCGGAGTCAGTGTGAGCATCTCCGAAAAGGATGCGGAAGTGGCCAACAGTACATGGGAAGGACTCAGGTCTTCTGAGGACAAGTTCCTATGGTACGGACTTGAGAAGGGCACGCCCCTGTCAATGGGCGCGTCCAGTCTCGCCGGGACCGTATGCTCGACACCGTTCAACTGCACCGGGTCTCCGTTTGCTATTTCTTCAGACTGGATTCGTCGATTTATCCTGCAAGATCCATCCTTCGACCTCACCACGCTAGACCACAAAGCCCTCGATAAAATATTCACTCTTTCGAAGGAAAGATACAACGACATAATCAGTGCCGATAATCCAGATCTCTCCGCCTTCAAACAGGCAGGCGGGAAGATGATCACCTGGCATGGACTCTCGGACACATTGATCTTCCCCAAGGGTACAGAACAGTATTATAAACGCGTGGAAGAGAAGGATTCATCTGTGCGCGACTTTTACCGCTTTTTCAAAGCCCCAGGCGTACATCATTGTTCTGGCGGTGTGGGACCGGTCCCTGTTGATCCGTTGAGCCAGGTGGTAGATTGGGTGGAGAATGGTGTCGTGCCTGAGACTGTTGATGCTCTGGCTGCTGATGGACGGACGAGGAACTTGTGTCTTTATCCACTTGTTTCGGTGTATAAGGGGGGTGATGTGAAGGATGCGGCGAGTTATCGGTGTGAAGAAGGTTATTAGTGATTGTATTTAGGTAGATTTGCTACCGAGAGCTTTGAATGGGAATTTACATAAGGATTATATTTCATGAAGTTCTTATCGCTTATGTGCAAGAGGCATGTACGGCAAACAAAATCGAGCTACTGTTTTGCATTTAACCACGGCTGCCAGCCTGCCACGCACTTTTAACCTTCAGGCCTATTGAAGTCTTAGTATATACTATTGTATAGTAGATTTACTATTAAAACTATTAATGAAATTTTAAACTTATAGCTTAACTCTAGATCTTGTTAAAAAAAAACATAGTTGTGGTGTAGCAGTGGTGGGATATCCAGAGCCTAAGCCCTAAGCTTAGGGGTTACAGGCCAACAATACCCTCCCAAGATGAACTATTTTATTAGAGATCGTTCAGAGGAAGATACCCGCACCTTTACAATAACGATTACTCCTCACTTTGACGCCGAAGGCGCACATCCCCTATCCATGCAGCAAATCCTCTCTAACCCAAGCTGCGCAGCCCACCAACCTCTTTTCATTTTTGAGACAAAATTCGGAAATCTCCCCGCTCATCCATTCCCCGAGAACATGGTAGGGGCATATGACGAAGCCAGGTCCCCTTCAAATCTACTTTACTTCGAAAAGTGACTCCCCAGACGAAGAATCGCGCGTGAACCGCAATACCGCCGGAGATGTCACTTTGCAATTTCACCGTCCATTCCCGAAAAGTAGACATCGCAACCCCAATAGGCCCACGCGTCGACATGCGTCGTGATCAAGGCGGCGTCTGTTCCGACGGAAGATGGCTCCTACCACGACCGGCAGTCGAACGTGAGGATTGCAATATCGTCGAGTGGGATCTCGCACAGGCTCCGGAAGGAACGCGCGCCGTATGGTCGTACGGCGAGGGCCCTGGACCGGTGACCAAGGAAGGGAAACTGGATGTCGTTTCGAATTCGGTCTTTATGGTTGGGCCGATAAACAGTTACCCCGGGTACTGGTGGTTCGTCTGGTGCGAATATCTACTGGTTTGGAGAATTGCCGGAGAATTTACAGCGGCTGAATCAGTATAATCTTTCGTTGTTTCCGAAATTGGCTGGTGTGTTCCAGCGGAAAGATGCTTCGTACCGCGCGTTTCTTCGGAATACTGTTAGAGGGTTTGGTGGAAGCTTGTGTCTAGAGAGTTATGTGCTTGAATATGACGGGATGGGTTGGAAGGAGACGGATGAGGATTTGGTTTCTCTTTTTTCTCATGAGATGATACATAGCTTCTCCCTTATGAATCCGGAGGCGGCTGGGTATGATAATGGATGGTATATTGAAGGTAAGCTCGGTTTTTTGTGTTTGTGGATCTGTGGGTAAAGTGATATAAGCTGATGATTTTAGGGGTTGCTGAGTTTTACTCGATATTCCTTCCTTATCGATTCGGTCTTCGCGGATTAGATTTTCTGCGGAACAGACTACACACAGTCTTGCTCGAATATGGAACAAGCCCGCGAATTGAGATGGATGCAATTGATGCTCAGCACGAGTTTCTACAATGCCTGGTATGCAGAGCGGGTCCCATACATGCGTGGCTGTGTCTATCTTCTGCAGATTGATAGTTTTCTGAGGAGGGTGACTGGTCAATTTGGATTCGACCAGAATAGCCCTTTGGATGACATAATTGTCGATATGGGCAAACGCTTGCATCGTGGGAAGCAGGTTTGGGCAAGCGACTGGTTGGAGTATTTGCGTGCATTCCTAGGAGAAGATATGGATGTCTCTGAGGATTTTTGGAGTCTGCTGAGAGGTCAGGTGCGAGATCTGCGCGCTGTAGTGGCAATAAACAAATACTGGTCTTTGTCGTCATCGATGCAGGAGATTCTAGAAACTGGCTTTGACAAGTCGAGCAACAGTACACGCATAGTTGCTGGAGTTGTTCCTGGTTAAAGGGCTGCTCTTGCTGAGCTGGAGGATGGAGATCACATTGCGACTTCGTCGCGTATAGGTCTATGTGATTCATCTCTATCCGCGTACTATGAGCTGGTGATTGAGCGGGCTGGTGAGAGAATCCAGATCTCCTACTGACCGCGCTCATTTACCAAGGCTAGAGTCTGGCAATTGGTGCAGTGATTGGGTGAAAAGCTCAAGTACGAAGGTCGTCCTGGTGCACTGTAGTGGGCATGGGAAGAGTCTTTAGAGGCGAGAGAATACTTCTTGCTTAAGGTGGAAAGAAAATCTTGGCCGCGACAATACATTGTGTAAGTTGAACAGGAGAAGATCTAAATTTCGCTTGCTTCCTGGCGGAATATCCATATAGTATTTGTCAAGATGAATGTTCTAAAGTACCATTTTACCCGCGACCTGATATATGATTCAGCCCTACCGAAATACACACGATATATCTTGATATACACGGGGTGTTAGCAACGACAAGGTCCCACCAACGTTCCTGTTTTCCCTTCCTCACGCTTAGAATTCTGAGTGGATAGCACTAGTATAATTATGGATTAAATGGCTGTGGCATTATATAGTTGAACTGCTATAGTGAAACTAGAATTGATATGAAACCACTGAGTAGACGATAGTTGGATAGGATATTATGGAACCAACTTGAAAACCGGGGAGAAGGCTGCCCTACGAAGTAAATATACAATAGTATCACCAGCGATTCCAATCCAAGCGTCGGGGTGTTTAGCTTTCAGCTTGAACTAGGTACTCCTAGGCATATTTGGTGAGTATGAAAAAATAGATATCTGGGTAATTGTTCGATTGGATCTAAATATAATACTCTGATTATTCTTAGTACATAACTGGTACGTCTGGATGTCGTGTGCTGCCTTAATGAATGATATGCCTAAATAAAAAGATACTCTTCAACAACTAGCATCATTGGTCTAGTGGTAGAATTCATCGTTGCCATCGATGAGGCCCGTGTTCGATTCACGGATGATGCACTTATTTTTTCTTCCGCATATTTGTTTGGACTTTTATTAGGTCTATTGTCCGTTTGTTCTCTGGCAATGTATCTTTCTGTTCTCTGCCCCTAGATATCAATGAAGCATCCTTTTTTCTAGATGTATATATAAATATGTATGTACAAGAAAAATTAACCGAGTGTCTAACCCAGCCCAGTACCATATGCACAATGCAAGTATTCACAGTACTATATACTATAGACCAAAGCCTCCCGGCGAAAAGGTTGGTGATACAACCCTTTCCCTTTCTCTCAGTTTCACAGCATACCGACTCTTCCATCCCATCCTTCCCAGCGCCAAGGTCTCCAGGGTCTCCGTCTTCCCACCCCAGAGTTTCCCTTTGCCGTCTTGTCGCTGCACAGGCGGGATCCAGAAATGTGTGATCACCGCACCGAGAATCATGCACACACTGAAGACGATTAGAACCCAGCCGTGGCGGATGATGGGCTCGTCACCGAGACCCGAACCGAAGTTGAAGTGTGCGGAGAAGATTTGAACGAGAATCGAGCCGAGTTTGCCAGCGCCGGCACTGATTCCATGGCAGGTGGCGCGGTACCGGGTGGGGAAGATCTCGGCCGGGATTATGTAGGTAGTTGCATTGGGGCCTGATGTATTTCACGTTAGTGTTCGTTTTGCATTTTGGGCTTTCATGGAGAGTCCATACCGAAGTTGAAGAAAGCCTGGCCGATGATGTATAAGGCCACGGCTACAGCACCTTCTTTGTGGACGGTCAGGAACATAGTACCCAGGGCGATGAAGAGGGCGGCCAGCGCCAGGAACCCATATTTTTGGAGTGCGACACGGTCAAGACGGTGGATAACGAGAATCAAGAGTAAGCCCCCAAGGAAACTACCACTGTTGAGGATGACAAGGGCATGCGTTGAGCTATCGAGAAACATCTTGAAAACATCGGCATTCGGACTATCATCCGTCTGCCAGACAGGTGCTGAGCCATGGAGCTTGAGGGAACCCCATGTCTTGGCAAGAAACTGTGGGTTTGAGAGGCCGATGCCGTAGAAACCAAAGTCGAGCAAAAGCCAGGACAGGGAGGTAGCAGCGAGAGTGCGCCAATTTCCCTCGGTCCAGAAATATTGTGTGATGTCTTTTCTCGTCAAATGCCAGTGAGAGTTGAGAGTGGCGGGCTGGAGAATTTCTGTCTGCGAGTGTGATCGATCAGAGAAGCATTGACTCGTCATGGAGATCGCTGGAAGGGGCAGGTTGTGCCAACTTTCTGTTTCCAAGGAGGGAGAGTTGTTCGGCTCGTTAAAGAGGGTAGTTGCATCGAATTCTGCCTGCACGGGGTCGTCTTCGATCTCCAGCAGGAACCGGGGACTTTCTGGGATAATGAACCGGAAGACCGTTGCGATTACACCAGGGACCACTCCGATCCCAATGACCCATCGCCACATGATATCTACAGTGCGGGTCAGGTCTTCGTCTCCTCGACTTCTGCTGGCGGCGACTACAATCAATGACACGATATTTCCGGTGATCTGACCGAGCGGCTGCATGAAAAAGACCGACGCCATCATTCGCGCTCGATGCTTCGTGGGTGCAAACCTATTGGTAGGTTTGTTAGCTCCTGATTGTGCGAATCAAACCAAGCTGCACCTACTCAGATGTGATGACCGCACTCAATGGGTAATCAGCCCCGACGCCGATGCCAACCACAATTCTCCACCATATCAGCCACGCATACACACTCATACTATGGTTTACGCCATTTGAGGCCATGACCACACCGAGGGTCGAAGTGATCAGGAGCATCAACTCCAGACCGTACATCTTCTTGCGCCCATACTTGTCTGCTAGATACCCAAATAATACTTGCCCCAGCATGGTACCGGCCAAGGTGGCAATGTTGATATTCGTGAGTTTCATGGAAGACGGATCATCTCGCCAGTAGACGTAGGATAGCATCGGGAAGGCCATGTTACTTGCAAATAGCTGCGGAGAGAAGAATCATGTGTTAGTCATGACTGATCCGTCATCGAGTCCAATAGCTTCATATTCAACTGACTGTATATCCATCGAGGAAGAAGCCTACTCCGGCTACAAACACCACAATCCATTGATAACCCTGTCGATCGATGGTTTCGTAAACTTGTCGCATGCGGACATGACGGTCCTGGATTCATGATGGTCAGTCTTCTGACGGTAACGGATTCCTGGATCCGATGAAAGACTCCACCTGTTCATGCTCAAAATCCCGAGCTCGATCGGTTTTATATAGCCTCGAGCGGAATTTCGTCATTTTGGATCTTATCACACTGGGGCGTTTCTTATCTCAGGGGGGCGGCTCATTTAACAGGACGGATATCCATAGTATAAGTTATGACAGATGTGCCATTGATCGTCAAATATGATGTAAAGAATGCGGCTTGAACATGGGGCTTGAGGATAAGGGGTAGGGAAAAATTGACCTGGAAGAAGAGCATTGCAGATGAGGGTGGCATGGTTACGTGACCCGACGAACAAGGCTGGACGGACAAAGTTCAAAGAAAGAAGCAATTAACAAGAGAGTGGGGGTTTGGAACAGAATAAAGTTGCGATCCACCGTTGGTAAGTTCCACCATTGGCGTGAATTGAAGCGGATAGCTCAACGTGCTGCATTAGCTTCCGTTTGGACATGAAGCAAGGGCCAATTCTTTTCCCACGTGCGCCCCTGAGGTGCGTACCTCAAGGTCTGACTGCGGTTCTTGCGGTTCCTGCGGCCCACCGATCACGAGCTTCCTGACAAGGATGTTAATAATAAATTAAATGCGCGTCGTTTCTCAATGCACGCAATTTCCACGAGCAGCCACTAAGAAACCCCTGTGAGACACCGGACGTGTGTGATGCGATGTGATGGGCTCGGTTTTCTCGAGACCAGTTTACTCCTTCGAACCAACGCCAGTGTGTGTGCCACGTGCTTTCATAACTTATGATGGTATTGACTATACAGGGTATATGTAGAGTATTATACTAGGTCCAGTGTAAGACAAAAAAAAAAAAAAAAGAAAAGAAAACCTCAAGGGTACCTCCGACAGAATCCGCCCGTGGAGCATGCCAGCGCTCCGACTATTACCGGATTCTAGAACCTCTTGTGTAGAATCAAAAACCCCGCAGAAAGAATCTCTAATATATGAGAGAATATGCAATATTCTCGGTCCGAAATCATGTAGAAAAACAGGATCATCGAATGGTAGTTATTTTGCGTGGTCTGCCAGAAATTGACAGAAGGATAAGCTATCTGGGGAGAATCCGTTAATATCCAAGTTTCGGCCCGAGTACCTGAAGTAGACATACCTCCGTGGTCTAAAAAATGGATCTGGAGATTTCTCATCTGGGAGAGGTAATCAAAATTGGGTAGAAGTTGTAACACAACCGGCCGCCCGGCCTTTTTCGGCGGTTGGACACTTTCGATGCAATTCACTAACTCGGTCAGTGGTTGGATTCTCCCCTCTCGAATTCTGCCCACTACCTACCAGGAACCGAGACATAGCGCTTTAGCTCCTTGCGTTGCGAATTGGCGAAAAACAGCATCACTTGTTTGCCGTTATAGCCACGCAGAATGCGTAGATTCTGACTGATACATTCTTCTCCACGACCTTTGGATTTGGCCTCGGCAATTCCGGCAATGAAAACGAGCTTGGCCGCGAGGATGAGCTCTTGAAAATGTACGCAATCTAGTAGGATGGATCAGTACGCGTTTCCTGAGTAGACCCGATCAGTCCTACCATTCCAATCCTCAAAGGTATAAGATAACTGTGATGTGAAAACGGTATGGGCGGTCTGGATGGTTTGTTCCTCCATGAAGGAAATCCTTAGAGAGGGTTCGTTGGGCAGTTTGGGGTGTTCTAGATGTGGGACGGGGAGTTTCGTGGTGTTGACTACGGCGTAGGAAGCTTCTAATCAGCCTAATGCCCCCGTAGTTAAGAATCCTGGTCACTTACAGGTGTGCACAAAGGGCGTCTGCTGGCCAACAGCCCCCCCAAGCTCTAAGGCCCTTAGAGCCCCTGTAGCATCTTTGCGAATATCAATATATGTGTAGCGAAGTTTGAAGAGTTTGTGACTTCGGACGAATGAGCTGTACTGGCCCGTTAGATAGTCACACTGGGAATCCGTAGCAAGGGTGATCAACCCACATTGTCACAGCAGGGTTCAGTGGTAATCGGATTACTTCATCGTACAAAGACTGGCATGACGCCTGTCGCGATCTTCCCGGAGACGATGTTGCGGGGCTGATGGGAGGAAGCGGGAAAAAAGAAGTTGATATGAAACTAGAGGATGAGGACTGGGTCGAAGACGAGACGGTACTTTCTCGTCGGACAGGGGGGAGAGGCCAATCCTCCGCCTCGAAGAGAGTTTGGCTCATGGCCAGAAGATAGAGATCTTAAAAGACCGTTCTATTAACACCAACGCGGCGTTGATAACTTTGCGTATTCGCTGTGGACTCGACGAGCTGGCGATCTTGCGGGCCCCCAAGAATTGATCGACATGCAGGGGCAAATATGAGAGCTCGACATCATCTTTCCCAGCGCCGCCAAAGTTCTTCAGAATTCAGGAACCATTCTGACAATAGATTCCCAACGTCCGTTGTTTGACGTGACATTTTAAATATGAACTCTGTCCCTCCATGGGAACCGGCATAAGGGCGCCGATAAGACGAGGGGTCTAGCACAGCCAGCCCATTGGCGGGAGATCCGCAACAACGTGCCTGAATGGATGGCTGTTATTGAAAGATTTCGGTGGGACCCGGTGGGGGGCCACGCTATGAGTGGTCCATGGGGGGGGGATGATATATAGGCGTAGCCGTGCTCAACTCGTGGGAAACTGCCGCGCATCGTTCGAGAACATTTCTTCCATCGTTTGATCCGCTTTCGTATATCTCTGAAGCTGGTGAGCTCAGCTGGTGGTTTCGGAGTAAGAGCTTTTGACTAGTGTAACTAACCATGAGTGGAGATGGTAAAAGGTCTCGTCACCTGCTACTTAACTAGTCGAGTCAGGCCGGGCACATGGCATGACTGGCATGACTGGGGGGTAAAGATCGGTCAAATCATTGTCCTCCCCCGATTGAACTTGTCTTCTTCTGGGGAATTCCGTCATTTCTAACTTTCCAAATCATTTATTATTGCTCTCTGCTATTATTGACCGAGACATCCTTTAATATGCTTTCATGGGGCTTTTTTTCTCTCCTACTGTGGAGTCTTTAATTATCCCCAATCTTTTCGTCTTTCTTTTCCCTCTTTCTTTAAATTATATTCTAAAATTTTTTATTTTTTATTTTCCTTCTGTATTTTAACCGATCTATTTCACTAACGTATAATATCTCTTCTTTTATCCAGACAAGCTTATTCGTGAATTGAAGGTGACATTAGTAATCTAAGGGATATAAATATCTAATGGATGGCCCGTTCTAATTGGGGTATCCGAACGAAAAACCCAAAGCTGTATGCAGAATTTAACAAACACCAGCCCGAAAGTCGTAGTAGGGCCAAGCAAACTTTGAAGCATGAAGAATCGACAGATCTATGGGCCACTTAGTGACCATGGAAAACCGAAGGCTTCAACCGAAGGAACGCCGACATGGAACGGACAGGGTAAATGTACGCCGAGCCATGTTCTCATGAAAATGGAAAAGTTCAGAAGAATTAGGGTAAAGGGGTATACAATATGTTCAAAGATGATCTTAAAGCCATGTTAGAGGGTTGCTGCCGAAACTTGTACAATTTCACACGTCGTAGACGAAAGTGGGGAGAACACCACTTACCTGTTGGCACAAGAACACCATGCGGTAGAACAGTCTCTTGGAGAGAGGTCATTATGATAGTGAAGATGGAAGGCATGGCTAAACGCGACTGTATCAATGCATAGAAAATGTATACCATCAATACCTGGGTCAGACTTAGACAGCCGGCTGTGATGCGTGAGACGATGACGAGTCTCGTCCCGCCAGCGGGCATGCGGCTGAACTGTTGTCCCCGTTCGCGGCAACGCTCCCCGTATTCAGTGAGAAAAGGGCGGTCGCCAAGAGATAATGGCCCCCTTTTTAAGCGGGACTGCCGAGACATTTTCCCGCTTCACTTCCTTCCATCCTCAAAGGCTGTCTCCAGTGTCCTGTTCTGAGGCAACACGAACTTAATGGAGGGGCTTCTGTGCAATGATACGATAACTTGTCGTCACCAGTCGCATGTTGTCCATTTTGACGAATGCTTCTCCGTCCAAACATAGACGGTTGATTAGTGTTTTGAAGTGTTTCGGGAGCACGTGAGTCTTGACCAGACCCAGGATGAGCTGTCGCATGGATCGGAAGTAGAGGTCAACCTTTGCGATCAACGGGGCTTGCAGTCCACCGACACTAGCGTTGTCGGAGCGAGTCACTGTGAATCCTGCATCGGTGAGAGCGTTCTCCAGGATCTTCGGAGTAGGTGTGCCCACCGCCCCAATAAGCGGCTTTACTCGGCGCATGAGCTGGACATGCTCAGAGTTCGAGGGGTCATAGTCAGGCAGACTGACCCAGTCCAGCATGGAGAATCTCGCTCCCGGCTTGAGTACACGGAAGATCTCGCGAAACAGAGCGGGCAAATCTTTGCACAGACTGAATGCCTGGATCTGATAGAACGCGTCAAAGGTTGCATCTTCGAACGGGAGAGGAAGGCTGTTGAAGTCCTGGACGATGAAGCGGTTGTCCTTGAACCCAAGCTTCTCGTTGTAGGAACGGGCTTGGGAGATTTGATTAGGGTCGATGTTCAACCCGGTCACATGTGCACCCGAGTATTGGGTCATGTGCGCAGCCACGCGGCCGCGACCACAGCCTAGATCCAGTACCTTGTCTCCGGGCTTAAGGTTAATATGTTCGGCAATGGACTCTTCATACAATAATTGGTTTTCCAGCACGGTCGCCTTCTTGCTCATGAATGGTGGAATATACATCTTCTCGACGTCGCCAAGAGCGCAGAGGTGGTTTAATACCCCATAGTACGACTTGAGGCAATCACCGACCTTTTCTTGATAGTTGGGTCCTAGCTCTTCGACCATCTGCTTCTCATTGGACCAGTCTAGGTTATATATGACATAAGATGCCATGAAGTCATCGACTTGCTTTGGGGTCAGATGTTGGAGATACCGGAAGGCGGTCCAAAAGGTTTTCCACCGCTTAGGAGAGGCGGAGTTGTGCAAGTCTGGCCGAGTCGATGGGACGCTGTGCACGGCCAGATTTTGCTTCTCAGTTGCAATAACATCCAGCGAGCTACTCTCAGAGCTCCGCCCGGACTGGCGTGATGCCAAGACCGTTTGAGTTTCCGTCATAGTGTGGATATTGGATGTCGCGGTGGAAAATGCCACAAGTCAGGGAGAAAGAAAGACAGGTAGGATGGTAGTTGGGGTGACTAAGAAAGGGAGAGCTATATTGCTGTCAGATAAGCCATGCCAGATGGGACCTTCAATTAGAAAAGCGAGGGAGGAGCGGGGCTAGGTCAATTTATAAGCATCTCAAAGAATTTTTCTCCAAGGGCGACGTCGGGGGATCCTCATATTATTGATTTGCCATATGACCTGCCATGGATAGTTAGTGACGGCCACTGTGGATTATTGTCACCAGATCTGGAAGGCATCGGAAGTGTCGGATAAGGCAGGTCGAAGAAAGGAAGCGCGGCAGGGAGCGGCGGGCGACCCGGAAGTTCCTGAGATACCGGGGGGTGGTTGTCCACATCTCATTGCTGGCTGGAACTTCTTACTGGGTTGCAACCCCGATTTGATGACGATAGACCAACGATGAGTCAAAAGGATCCAGGGTCTGCAGGCCACATCACAGACTTCGCTTCCCCTCTTGATCGTCAAAGGAAATTGCTTTGGTTAGCAATCGTTATAAATTAGTGTCCCTCACCCATGAGGTAGTACCTGGCCATGTTAGCTAATTGGAAAACGACCATGATGCAGGCTCACCGAAGCAGTATCCCAAGCTCATTTGCTCCCTGTGATTGCCAAGAGCTCCAGTATGGTGCAGCTAGTGAGGTGCGCAAAGACCCATGCAGCCTCCACCGGGATGAGCTGATCAATCATCATACTGCAGTAGTTCTTGGCGGTCAATGCTTGATTGATTGACTAACACCCTTAGTGCCCTACATAGTAAGGGTTGTGCCGTACTACCACGGCACGAGCAGTCCTTCTTACTAACAATCATTGCCTTATAGGGATACATCGGGTCGGGAACCGGATAATTCTCCCTGACACTGGACTGTTCGTGTCCCTTTTAGGGCAGAGTTTTTCATTATCGTTCCCACTTCGACCACTTCGACCACTTTGTGTCACATAATATTTCTAAGCAATTCACCATCTTGGCGGCTCTGACGGAGCGGAAGCGCCCGGATCAGGCAATTCTTCCCGGTCTCGGACTTTCATCCGAGTATCCGATTCCGTTCTTGGCCCTTTTTTTTCCCCTTTCCTTTTGTTCCAGTATAGCCGTATATCCGCTGACGTAATTTTCGATCCTTCTGGGCGGTTGCGAAAAAGTACGTTGGGACAATCTCGGAGACTTTTTATCTTTCTGTTCTCTTGGGGAGGGGTGGAAAGGGGAAACCTTGTTCTGTAATCAAATTGGAGGAAACATGAGCAAAAGGTAACACGTTAAACATCCCATGCCCTCCCAACGGTCCAATCCAAAGGTGTCCTGGGTGTGCACCTGCCGCTGGGATGATCACGATATCATTTACCGTTTCTAGCGCGCGAGCCGGACGATCAAGTGCGATATTTCCTGGCAGTTGCTTCGTTCGATTTACTAAATTAAGCATAGATTTTCGGCCCAGACGAGGACAGTGCTCGTAAATAGAATGGCCACGTCATTTATCAAAACCGTTTGTAACCGCTAGGGCGTGGTCCGATTCATACCTAGGGTTATTTCGCGCACTGGTTAAATGTGTCCGAACTTCAAGCCGATCCACTCGTAGACTTAGTCTGATATAATCGTCATTCGGCTTATCTGATGCCCTGTTCATCGGTCAATTTCCCCTTTAATACCGAACAGGTCTTTTTGGATAGAGACCACGTGATCTGATCTAGGGTTAGCTTGCATTCATACTCAGTTCTCCTAGTTTCTGCAGGAAATCCGACTATTCCGTAACATTGTTAAGCATTTCTGGAGATTTTCGATAGCAGAAAACGTCGCATAATTATATTGACGACGTCCAAATAAGCTTATCTTTAAAGCCTGCCTCCGTTGTATCACGTACAGCTTGCTTCCTCCATACAGAATTGAGTGTTCTGGCTCCACTCCAACTAGGCAGCAAGATGAGCGTCTGAGGAGAGATGGGCTGCCGAGGTGGCGATGTGAACGGTCTCTCCAATCATGGAGGCTGCTTGCTGCGCGGTGACAAGGGCTTAGTTAATAGTGATGGGACCCGCGAGGGAGGTACCGGTACTTGTCCAGACGTGGCAGATCTGGGCTATGCGGATGTACCCATCGTAGAAGCTTGGGCTGAGCTTCCCGTGTGGCCGGGGCGTGTCAGTCTGTCTGTAGAGAAGGGCGTTTGGATTGGTCCGGACTGGTATCCGTCGGTGGATGGTGATACTCTTGACAAATGTGCCGTTTTTAGTAGCTGTGTCAGGCGATGGCCCTTCAGCTCCACCTGCAGCATGCTTCTCTGCTGCTGGCTACTTGGGCGCTCGACTGGCCCATATTATATAATCTCTAAATTCTGCACACTGCGTGTGGATGTCGTTGTACCTTGGTTCCGGGATAGATCATCTACTATTTTAGCTCAACTTTCTCGGAAACAGTAATAATTTCCCTTCTAGGATAATTAACGGTGTAGTAAATTTGCTCTTCTGAGTGACCTGCACTGATTTGAATAGAATAATTAACTAATGCGTTGTTGGGAGGATGTCGTGGAGGTTGTCTCTACATTCAATGCCCAACTAAGTAGGTGATTTGCAGTTGTCTTCGTGCAAGGAGATGCGAATTCTGAATCGTTACTCGGATATAGCTTAACCCTTATCGTAATAAATGTATGATATAAACAAACCATACATAAGGGATGTTGTATCTCATAACATGTGACCGCATATCATCTGACAAGGAGATTCCATATGGCCCGCCATGTGACCTCCCTGACATTGCACATTTAGCAGCCTAGTCTAGTACATGATATCCTTCCATCAAGCTCTATGTACATTGATAAAGCATCACGCCGTGAAAAATGCATTATCTTCTCTCTCGGAATCGACAGCACGGTTCCCCACAAAGACATGTCTTGTTCAATTGCTTCCAATAATGATCTGAATAATCAACGGTGATCTCACCCCCCGCCGTCACTCCTCGCGAAACAACAATTACGCGCTCCTTTCCCCGCCAATAGAATCGCTGGAATTGACTGTTTGGACGACAGGAGTGGTTGATGAACCGTGTGAAATTGCCCATCTGCCCTTGGAAGATCTGGTACGTTCTTGTGCGAGTGCCACCTAGCATTACGTCGACTCCCTCAATGCCTTTGGTGATGAGACCCGTGAACTCACCGATAGCAATACCACGGTCGAAGTTCTGTTCATTGTTGGTTAAGATAATGATAACCATGTCTGAGTTCAGAAGGCAAAACTTACACTGCGAGCTATGACCCCGTTGTTCTTCCCGCTGGTTGTATGGAACAACTGTACTGGTATTGGATTTCGCACGCCCCCGAACAGTGTGGGGAAGCATGAACATTGGTTCTTGTCGATTTCATCAGACTGCCTCTCTTTGCACACCAAACACACATCCGGATCTATTTCAGGGACCCGGCGAGGGTCATCTGTGCCAAAAGCAGCAGTGTCCAGCACACACTCATCGATAAAGCGATAATGAAAGCCGTTGGGGAGCTGAAGATGCTCATATGTTGAAGTCAAGGGAATTGCTGGTCTTCCTGTTACTGTCACCCATTCGTGTGGGTGGCCGTGGTACTGCCGTGTCTCTTGTTGGCCAATCACCTGGAGAAGATCCCTCCAGTCCGGATGTAGCGTATCGGCGGCAACCTCCAGACTAGATCGGATATGTCGGAGGCGCGTGGAGAAACCTTCTCCAAAGCCAGTACGGTATTTGCAGAACCGGTATACCCCGGCGCTTGCAAATATCAAACTGGCCCAACCGCCAGCATCTTTGATTTCCTTGTATCCGCGCCAGATAGCGCTGAATCGAGGAAGAAGTTAGCCTTGCATTCATAGTTCAAGAACGTATGTTGCGTACATTCGGTTCCGCAGATCCTTTTCTTTCCAGTTGAGAACCGCACATGCTTCCCTCAAGCCCATCATTCGGATTTCCATAGCCGACAGGTTGGGATTTTCTAAGCGAAGAACAGCAATACGAGCCTCGTAGCATTCAATCCAGTACGCTTGCACTATCATCTCAAGCGCGCGCGAGGACTGACTTTGGTTATAGTACTTCAAGCACAAGGTATTGACTGCCCGGAATACCTGGTGATAGTTAGTTATCTCTAGTCTGCTCTACCTACGAAGACCTCGGGAGACTCCAGTTGAAATACCTCCTATTACGTAGATGGGTAGGATATAACATACCTCTCCACTAACACCAGTGCGAATGTCTATGCCGGGTTCTATGACCTATGTTTGTTAGTTCAGACAATCATCTTTTCACGCCGGGGAGTCATACAGAATGGAATCGGCTTAGTTGAACAGGTGAGAACACTTGTCGCCAGATACCCGCAATAAGCTTGTCGGTTGATGTTGGTTCTAGGACTGGGGCAGATGTATCTTTGCTTGGGTTTTTCCGTTGGGGAAACCTAGTGTCACTATGTACCTGGCGAACAGACAACTTTTGAGCATCGTCAGTCGTCCTATTTGAATCCGGTGTAGCGTAGCCGTCGATCTGAGATTCAGCTCCTTTGATGACAGCCTTTTGATTATGTGGCGCCAGGTGAAGACCACTGACTGTCTTTCGTCGCTTAAGGGGACGTGAGCCATGGCCATCTATAACGGGTTCTGATGTGGCTATGGTATCTTGTTTATCGTACTATATGGAACGTTAACCTTGCCGAAAAAGTCACATATCAAGGGAAAGTCTAACGCTTGTCTCTGAGACATCTGGACTCAACTGCGACAATGGTACAACACACTCATTATTTAGGTCAACGCAACCCTGACCAGTTAGCACATAATATCGGAAAGCTGCAGCATTGGACTGATTCAATATGACCAACCAGAACCCATGAGTTATCTTGAGATACACATGGTGTACCAGAAAAAAGCGACGCTTCAATACGGAGGAAAAGGTTACTATCCGCTTGCTCCTGTTGGGAGGTTTCCTTGGAGAGATCCAAGTGATTCCGTTTCGATGCTTCGATCGCAGATGTCAGTTGCGCGGGGAAGTCTGGGTTCTGGAGAAGGCTACACAGCTGAGATACTAAAGAGAGTGAAGATGAAGGCTCCATGCTGACTGTAGACCCACTCTAGATGGAGGACTCAAGAAAACGAATTCCTTATACTGAGTATACTACCATAATCTTCAGGCGCTAAGATACCATGTTAAAAATTCTGCCTGGGCAGAATTGCTGATTCATCAATTATCACTAGCATGACGTCATTTATATAATGTAGTATATCTTTTAGGAAGTGAATGCATATCATGATAAAGGCACAATTATAGGTAGTCCTACAGGATGACGAGCATATGTATGTATTTGTTGACTCTCGTAGTCTGTATAAGTGTTATGTCGAGAATTAACCCTTCAACGTTGCTGCCTCATAGTTTTGTACGTTTTATGTATTCGTCCAATGTAAAATGTCGGGACAAGCTTTTACCCAGTGGCCAATGCACCGACTCAGGAATATCACAAGTAATAAAAAAGGGTACAGCCTACATTACCTCATTCAATATGGCTCTGTGTGCCCAACCGCCCACTATGTCCACTTAGATCTATTGAAAGAAGTGCGTTGCGCACATTGCATCCCTCCCACTGAATCTACGAGATCGAGGAGTCATGAAACAATAAAAACAGGGAACAATAGTTGAAGGTATCGCTTGGAAATTCTTCTATGTACAATTATATACACTGCTGGAATTCATATAATATTAAGACTTTCTGGCCGTTGACATTGATTTGCGCTGAATCGGAATGTGGGCGCGTGTTTCTGCTCGCTGTGGTTTACAGCTGGACACGTGCCTGCCACCCACAATAAACCATATCGGTGGTGGCACAGTATGTTGTAGTCTGTAACTTCGTAATGCGTTTGGTCGGTATTGTCCCCCCTAAATGGGACGCGTGGTCATTTCGAACCGATCGACGGAGCTATCCATGGTGTCGGATGTCGCTGGTAAGAAATAGATATCAAAACAAGTGCTGCACTGAGCTATATCTGCTTTTTATAGCCACTCTGGTGTCTTGCAAGGGTGATCTTCCCGATCTTTCTCAATCTTATCCAAGAGCCACCCGGATTTATACCGTCCTTCGTCACCTTCCGGATCTCTCTGGTATCCTAGCCGATAGGAGAAGGAGAATCCGCAGGTCTGATCATGGTAAACAAACTGGAAGCACTTGGAATGCTCCTTACAAGCTTTCTGACATTGCTCGAAAGAGCTATACGCTTCCTTCTCGACCGGGGTCATATCCGAGGGCGACTTCTGTCTCTCCCCTTCAACCCCGGGCGCACGGAACATCAAGTCATCGGAGAGATTATACCAATCATCGCGCTCCGAGGGAAGCGCACGACCCATGAAATAGTCATACAGCTCACTAATGAGGAGTGGTTCCTGCTCGTCGTTAGCCATCATCACCACCCACTAACTCCTAACGGAAATGAATAAAACACGGACCTGTGGGTGTTTACGATGTTGCTCATAATTCCACATCGCATTAACATCAACCGGCGTAACTTTATGCATGGTAATCAACGGCTGACATCCATGTCGGGACCCTGAATTGGGACCGGGCCCAAAAGGAAGCGTATTTTGCTTCTCGCCCTGCATCATGGGCCATTTATTACTAAGCTCGACGCCCTTTTCCTTGAGGGCTTTCATAAGCACAAAGTCGCCGTAGATCTCGTCGTGCATGCGCTCGTCATATCGTGCAGCCAGATCGGCATCTCCATCTAAGACACGCTTCATGGCTTCACGCGATAGGATCACCCCGCTTCCTCCGTGGGCGAACTTCTCGGTTTGGAAGGTCGCCGCCGAGCCCAGATAGAGTGGCTTGGCAGGGTCCATCCGCGCCAGCCACTGCACTAGATTTCCCCAGAAGAGGTACGTGTCGGCCTCGACGAACACATACCAGTCGTGTCCGGGACGTCGCTCCCAGGTCTGCACAAGCATGTGGATGAACTTGTACTTGTCCAGGTCCCAGGCGGCCTGACGCGAAGTCCGGAGTTGCCGGATGTCCCGGCCCGAGGACAAGTACTCTTGAATGGTACGGTAGTAGGCGAAATCGGGATGAGTGGCCTTCCGAGTTTCATTGACGTTCGCGAGCACGTCGTAGACATGGTAGCCACCGAGGTCTTGCTCGGAATCGGCGAAAATAAGCGGGTCTTGGCAGCATCGCAAGGCTGTGAGGAGTTGCGTCGGGAGCTTATCGTAGATGATGTTTGTGCCAGTCTTGACCACCACCTGGATGTGGGAGGTGTCGGGTAGTCCGCTGCTGCATCGCACATCACTGGGGTTCCATGGGGGTGACGAATTGTGCTTGGAAGATGTGGTTTGAGGGGACGAACTGTGGAGAATTCGGGTCTGTGGGGGGTTGACAAAGAGGACCAAAATAATGATGGTTGACAGCAGGATGGCTGTGCCGCCCAGCATTCGACCGGAACATATGAGGCGACTCATGATCGAATTCTCGCAGGGATAAGAGAAAAGTTCTTTGTCTGCATTGACAATGAAACAGTCAAAGGATTTAAATAAAAAAGTATCGACCAGCGTATATGTTTTTTTTTTGGGGGAGTGGGCTGAAGAATGAATGGATTTTAGCAGTTAAGCACTAACGTTCTTAATTTAGTATGACGAATGAGACATCGTATTTTAGCGTTCCCACTCGACGTCACGACAACTGAGACCCTGGTGGCCCTGCCAAGACGTTAGACAATTGTGCCCGTCCATGGAAATGTTGTACTTATCGTCTTTCACTAGGCCGTTGTAAGGAGGAGTACACTCGATCTCTATCCGCCTCGGTAGTTGCCAAATCTGCGGGTGCATTCATGCGCCCTGCCTTTGTTGTTAGTTAGGGTTAATTCTAAACCGCCACTCGTAGTCATGAAGAAACACTTTTCGGCCAGCAACAACATGGGTGCAACAGATCTAAACATGTGTTTATTATCGATAATCCCTCGCTCTTCTCTTTCATCTCAATCACTATCCTTCATGGGCGGTGTATCGTGTACAACCTCAACAATTCCCAATCCGTCCACAGAGCCCTAATTCCGAAACAACCTCATCCCCCGCGTGTGACGGTCATGGCCCCCAAGTCACTGTGCTAGTTAGGCGTCCTATCCTTCCTGCTCGTATTGCCCGTCTACTCCCAATTCTACTTCATTGTCCCACCACCTCCGGGTAGGAGCAACACTCTCGCCGTGAACCCGTAGTACGACATCGGACAAGAACTGAACATCACATGGAACGGCACACCCACCGACTACATATCCATAGCGATACACCAGCGCCGTCCGGCAAGAGACGAAGCTGAATTCATTCTCAGTGAGTAGAAATAGTATTCCCTTGCACAATTCAAATTCAATTCTATATTATATCCACACACAAAAAAGAAGGAAAGAGCATCCATTCTAATCAAGTCTCCGGTCTCTCACACTTCCCATGGACCATCACAACAAAGAATCTAACCGAGTCGAATGTCTTCTACCTCAACATCTACCCCGGGGAGAAATCTCAACCCACGGCTAGCAGCCGTTGGTTTAATCTCACTGATTCATCTACTTCTACTTCGGTTCAATCGTCCCCTACAGCTACTGTTACAGGGATCTCAAGATCTTCATCTAGTCCGACAGAACCCACTGAAACGGGTATCCCGACAAAACCAGATTCCTTAGCCGCGAGATCAGATTCCCTTGACACCGGGGCGCAAATAGCCCTAGGCCTTGGTATCACGCTAGCTATCACTGTGGGTGCTCTTGCAGGGGTTCTGATTGCTCGATGGTTTAGACGGAAAAATATCACAGGAAGATCTATTATAGGGTACCAGGTAACCTATCGATAAGAGCGGTCGTGAGATGACAGGGCCGTCGGAGCTGGAAAATACAGCCCGTAAGCCGGAGCCGGTGGAAATACTGACGGATAATCATTGAGTGAGGGGGTTGAAATAGAATGGTTCACGTGTACTTGGGTTGTATACAGTATATGACGTATGGAGTTCATGGCTTTGGAGAAGATGAGTATTTCGTATATGTATTTACCGCCATATACCCGAATAGCATGGGTTTAGGTTTGGTGGGCGTCTGGAATTATAGGCTAGAGTAATTGTTTGGTTTCTACGGTTTATGCTTTGTTTTCTTTTGAAGGAAGTTATGTTGACCCTGATTTTGGGCTCTATATTGATATTGCAGCTATCTATATACTTATTTTTCTAGATAGAGTTTCGCAGAACTTCAGCTAATATGATATGTTTCACGGGCTGGCGCCTAACAGCTTTTTTATTTGTCCACAAAAGCTCGACTTTTGTAGAAGGTGTTTCACAGCACTGGTATAAAGGCAATATCCATCTATATACTTAATATAATTAACCAGTCTAGATACCTGGCGAAAGTTAATACCAGCTTGTGTCTGTAGGCCTGGCGATACCTACATATTGTTGACCAGGCAAGCCGGTACCTAGGGACAAGGGATAGCATTTACACTTGTATGGAATGTTTGATTGATATTGTCTACAAAACAATGTCTGTTCGTGTCTTGCTAAAGTACAGAGATTTATGTTAATGACTTGCTATCCCACTCTACATCCTCCCAAGTTGCGCCAAGTCGCGCTGCATAAGTTGCATTTTGTACAATTAATTCCCCCATATCTCGCGACGTTTCCATTATCCACTGTATAGCGTAATTCAAAGTAGGATGGAACTACCTTAGTGGTAGTGGTCACAACCCCCGACGTCACGACGAGCTACAAGCTGGCGCGGACCCAACCACGACGAGTCCTCCTGGGTGGCCTTGCGCAGCTTCTCGGTAACGGCGTCCATGTCGAGGCCGAGAACCTCTTCAATGTAGCGAGGGAGCTCAGTGTTATCCCAGCCTCCGGCGAGGTCCGCCTTCAGGTCGTGGCGCTTCCGACCGGCGGCGTAGCCATGCAAGGTGACGTCGACGGAGGTGTGGCCGCCAGTGGACCAGTCGACACCGGCACGAGAGGACATAAGAGCGGCGATGCCGGCCCCGATACTGTCCGCGTCGAGAATGGATTGGATGTCAGCATCGGCGACGTCCTCGAGCCCATAAGCCGGGAGAATCTCAGAGACGAGGAAGTCCCGCTCGTCAGCGTCGACGGGGCGGTCGTTGTCCCAGACGGACTGGAGATAGGCGCGCGAGTGAGTGGCATTGCGCAGAGGCAACGGGTCGTAGCCATTCAGCGTCAGGCCGCCCGTCTCATGGTCGGCGGCGGACAACATGATGGTGTCTGGGTGCTGGTCGATCCAGTCTCGTACCCAGGCCACCACGTTGTTGTACATGACTGTCTCGAAAGCGTGGTTGGCCGGGTCGTTGTCGTGTCCAGCGTGATCGATTCGTGCTGCCTCGATCATGAGGAAGAAACCCTTGTTCCGGCGACGGGTGGCGCGGTGGAGTGCATTCACGGCTGTCTCGGCCATCTCAAGCAAGGATGGTTCATCCTGGATGATGCGACGATCCATCTCGTACCGCATGCTTTCTGTGGATTGGTTAGTTTTCCCCCCTACCTGCGCTAGGAGGATTCAATCGACTTGCCTTCGCTGAAAAGACCTAGGAACGGCAGATCCGCCTGGCCCTGGCCCTTCTCAAGAGCGTTGAACTCCTCGCGGTTCGTGGCGACGGTGAAGCCCTGCTCTTCTGCGTAGGTCAATAGGTCGAAGTCGTCTGCACGGCAGGATCCCTCGGTGCTATTTGGCGAGAAGTTGCAACGGCCGCCACCGAGAAGCAGGTCGACCATGGGACCGAGTGGGTGGCTGTAGCCGAGCTGTTGCTCTGCAATCAGGGGCATAGAGCCACGGTTGGCGGCATGAGCCGCATAGACTAAGGAGGGGGATGAGCATCGTTTGCGAACTTAGAGCTGGGAGGGGAACAATATGCATCTTACCTGCGGGCGTGGCATCACTGATGTATGTGGTGGAAACGAGACCAGTCTTCATGCCTCCAAGCTTAGCGGCCTCGAGGATGGAACCTACAGGCTGACCTTCGGGTGTGACAGAGATAGCACCGTTGTAGGACTTGTGGCCGGCAGCATACGCGGTCCCAGAAGCCGCTGAGTCGGTGATCATGTTGTTGGCAGAGTGGGTGCGGACACGTCCGATGGCCTAAGAGAGAATTTAGCACCAAATCATCACCTCGTTATCTCCAGGTCAGGACTAGAACTGGCTAACCAGGTCGTCTACTGCAAGCTCATGGATCTTCGGGTTGCTGCCAGTCGTGTCACTGTCAACCAGAGACACAAGGTCACGGGCCATGTTTTGTGATGCAGGCCCATATCCATCGGGAACGATATAAATAACGTTCTTTGCTTGCACAGAAGCTGCAACTGCAGTCTGGGCAAGGGCTGCGCCCGCGGTGATGGCAGTGCGGATATGCATCTTGAGAGATGTTACCTAAAGTACAAGCAAGTTCAAGACGTAGGTTAATCACCGATCTTTCAGGTGCGCAGAGTGCAGCTTTTATAGATATTTCTACCAAGTTCCGGGGATGCCGGTTCCTGAATATCTCTAGCCCTGTCCCCAGCTATATTTGGTCAATTCAATTCAAAATAGCGCATCCCAGTTCACACTCCCCAATTGGGAGCAGCTGTCGAACAACGTGCCGGAAGTGCTGAGATTAGGGGATCTTGGCGTGTCCGGTACAGCCATCTCGGGTATCAGTTCCAGTTGAAGCCTGTGTCCACGTTCTTCAGGGAACAGCTGCATAGGAGGAGCCCGCCAAGGCGGCGGAACCGTGCCACTGATGTTATCTATCCCCAGGGACCAAGCGGAGCTGCGATCGAAGCGAGAGGGTAAGTGATTAACCAGCAAATAGCCGGAGGTGTCAAAGGATTTCGGGAATTGCAAGCAACTTACTTATAAGTGGATCATGTCCATGAGTTCTTGAATCAGAAGATGCCAGTTTCCCACGTTCTCATCGGCCAAGAAATAGCTCATTGCGATGCTCTAACGCTTAGCGACAGCGGCGCTTGGCTTGGTGCGGAGTAATTTCCCATCGTCTTGGCCTCTCACTCCGGCTCAACTCATAAGGATGGTCAAATTTGTGGGTTTGGGAGGAAGCCATCAATTAGAAAAAGCGAAGTAGACCTGCCCGAGGGGAGTGATTCGTGCATAGGTAGTGAGGTTGTCCACCTATTGTTCGCATGTCTTTCTCGTTGCGCGAGGGTTCCAGTTCTCCCTCTGATAGTCACCCTAGCTTTCCTAATTTTCTTAGTATTTTCTGTTTTCCCTATCTTCTCTACTTCCTCTCAACTTCACTGTAAATCCGCGCGCTGAATACAGAGGACGACTCAACGCTCGATTCTTTGAACGTAATGATTTCAAACAGCAGCAGCAACGCCAAAGTTAGAAGAACATAAATATAAACTATCTAGTATTGGAACTGAGACCTCTATATTCATTTCTAGATAGTTGTTAGCGCTTCGTGATCATGTCTTGTAGAATACATTGCAGACCTCTTGTAGAGCTCAACGTTACAAATAGATAAAGCTTACGCGACTTTCCATTGTGGAATCAAGATATTAACTTGGAGAGATTGAGTCACCCCATCGCCATCAGATAGTCCAGGTAGACCCCTGAACTTCACGCATGTCCATGGTGTGACTCGAGGATAGAATTTCACCGCAGGGTACATTGAATAAGTCATAAGATATAACTACAGTAGCTTGTCGCAGCCAACAGTGCATATGAATAACCCTATAAGATTCACCAACATATCCTCAAGTGCATGTCAACCCCTACTCTGCCCCTCTCTATCTCCCATTCTTTTCTTTCTACTTTTCATTATTTAGCTTAATTATGGACATAACGACCTTCCTTGGTGTTCTTTCTTGAGCAAAGTTGATACGCCAAGGGCTAGCTCCGCCTAGACAATATCTCTAAGCTATTTTGTTTCTACTCCTGAAGATTCCAGGTAGCTAGAAGTCTTGGTGTGGAGCTGAAGAATAAAGAACACAAGTCTCAACTATCATGCAATACACAGACTCAGCGCCTATCGACTACTATGTCAACGATCTTCCAAGGGCTCGTATGCCCCGGATATCAAAGGCAACCTCCTTGGGCCACGATTCTGAGATAGAAGCGGCCAGACACAGATGAGTTCACATAGGTTCTACTGGATATCTTAGTATGCAGGATGAACATGACGTAGGACGCTGATGGGTTTGTACAGGCTATGGGTATCTGCAAACATACCTGAAGATTTGAATGCCATATCTCCTCTGAAGAGAATCATAAGATTGATCCAGCTGAAAACTTAGCAAAAATGGAGCTTCGAGAAGGTATAGAATAACGACCATTGCAAAAAGCGAAGGACACATCTCATACTCAGCCAATCCATTCTATTTTACCAAACTGAGATACGTATACTGGAGAGGTTGAAAGTCATCAGCTTCCGACGTGTATATTAACTACCCTGGTTATTTGGTGTCAAATGCACTAAGTCCGTGGGTCCAGTGGAAGGGTTGCACAGTCCCTAATGATTGCAGCGTGCTGCATCACAGGATCACAAGAGGCTGTATTGCTCACCCAGGAGACATGCCAACTTATAGCCAGGGAGCCAGAAGAGCTCTATTACATACCTCATGTCCAAGAATATGGACACAAAACGAGACGGTGTTACGCCTATGCAGCACCCGAGATGTCTATTGACACACGGTGATATTTCTGAAAGCGCAGGGACTCGACTCAATTGAGGAGCATTCGACGCTAGACCCTCAATTGGCAGACGGTTTTTCTATCACTGCGTTCTGGCTGCATGGGAGGTACCTTTATCTACCTCTATTTTGCGATACAACAACCTTATCGATGACTTCTGTTCCTTCTGTTGCTTACGAACTTTGTCAGAGGAGGCTAAGGAGAGGTCCCGCCTCATCAAGGCAAACGGTCTGAAATATGTCGACTCTACAGCACACGCGATGCTACCGCTAGGCAATCTCGAGCCCTAGCAGTATGTATCTGGAACATCCCGAGATAATTCGCCTGCGTCCATAGTATGGACCTTAAACCCCCCGCTGCCCCTTAAGTTTCTAAAGTGATGATCAATTTTCCTGGTCTATTGACCTAGTTGAAATAAACTCTTCTTCTTTTGCCAAAAGGGACACAGCAGTAGCTGATCCCTAACGAGACCAAGAAGAGTGTCCAACTTCGTTCCGTCCAACAGCGACCCAATATCGATATTGGTATTCATTATGTCGAGCAGGCGAGGGAGTACTCAGTACCCAGCAACTGCAACGTCATACCAAAGAAAGATACACATCGGTAGGTTTATCCCCATCTGACTATACTGTTTATCAATCTTCAGCCCAAATATTACTCAAACTTTTGTCTATCTTTCCCAGATACTACTCAGGATTTGTCTGTCCTTTATCCAAATATTACCCGTATTTCTAGGGAAGGTTCAAGATGCGTCGGGTCCTATAGTTAGAACCATACAGATGTCAGATTGCCGAATATAGGCGAAATATTCTAAGGGTTGATACATTCCTCACTCCCATCCCATGGCAAAAAAAAAAAAAAAAAAACCTCTCGGCTGACAAGAGAGAACAGGGAAAATATTGAAAAACTCAATTGTTGGATAGATCTGCCGCAGCTGCAAGTCCAGAGAAGCCAACTTACTGACGCTCCAAATTGTCTGTTCATGGAACTAGCCTGGCTGTTTATACGAACTAGTATTGGTGACAGTCAAAGGGTAAGACAGAATGCTTGATCCTATATAAAGATTAAAGGTCATAGCAGAAGACATAAAGAAACTTGATTCTCGATCGCAACGGAGGGGATCCCATCAGACGATCCTCCGTCCTTCGCTCTCCATAATACCCTCTCAGAGCTGTATGGGAATACGATTATCTCATCAGTGCCGTCCTATTGGGTTATCTTCTCTCTGTTGAAGTCGAACCTGTTGCTTCCTCACGCCTTGCAGCCAGTTGACCAAGTTAGCTACAATCAAAATCAACAACCCTTTTTGTTCCGTGTTTGGTAATGTCTGACAGTGGGGCTGAAAAGGATCCTGGAGTTCAGACACAAGGGTGGAACAGGCTATTGGGAGGCTAGAAGATTGGATCCGCCCAAAACACACCCCAAGTTACATCAAGACATCAATTTGACCAAATCAAAGCCAAGTTTGATCTACCGGGCGAACTTCACTCGGCGGTGTCAGAGTTGAAAGATCCGAAATCACGGAGGAATCCACACGCAAGATACTGAGCTAAGTTGGCAACCATTTTGAAAGCTCTGGCTTCCGTATTGGCGGCAAGAAAAAGCATTGCAGGCGAGCTGCATTGATAAGACAAGCAGTGCAAAGCTATCTAAGCCACTCAATCAACGCATCATTGGTACCAGGAAACCAAAGTATGCAATGCATATCTTGCGGATGTGCTATCGAAGACTCACGCCGACAGTAGATGGTTCAAGCGAAGACGGACACTTCAAAAGCCTCAGAGTTCTTTGTAGAGCTCCTGCCCATGTGACAAGCCTCCAAGAGACTGCTTGCAGAACTGCCAGTAGTGCATGGGTGGCACCATCTTGTCCTCCGCCAACCTTACTCTTGGAAGCTTAGGAGACTGCACTTTTTGGCCAGAAAAAGACATGATCGAATGAACTTCAGGACACCGACACTTGATTGACGAGATTGTTAAGCCAGATCTCAGACAGTTCAGGCTTGATCATCATCCTTGGGGCTTACTAGCAACTAACCTGTCCGCAACACTTCAAGCGTAGCCAGTGTTCACCCCGTTTGATTTTATACAGTCTTCGCAAGATACGCCTTGTAATGTATTGAAGCTTGGCACTTCATGGTTGACGATAGCTTACGACATGGTCTCGTTGCATCCGATATCTTGACCATCAAGGACAACCTAACCGTCAATCAACTACGACAGAATCTGTTATAAAGATATGATTGTGTTCATTGGCTCCGTCAATGGTGTCGCTGAGTATAAACACAAAGGATCAGTGGAAACCAACCTCTACGCTATCTTAACGTGGCTTAGTGCTGAAATGGTTCACGGAGTTAGAAAAAAAAATGCCCCCTACGCATTCTACCGCATGAGGAAGAATAGCCCTCCAATATCCACCGCAGCTATTCCAACTGACAGCATTTTCATATCTGTGAGTCGAAATGACCATATTTTACAGCGATGGACGCATAAAGAGCTCAATGTTGTGAAACTCTACACTGGTCGCGGTGTCGACGTGGGTCATATCGCCTGGATCGCAGAAACAGCCCTCCACCTTGCCTGTAGACATAAAGAGCTAGCAGGGACCAGGGAAATCTTAGGCTAGTAGTACACTAATACCGGCCAATACCTAACAGACTAGTCATGAGTGACAGAGGCAGTTATGTCCTTGGACTAAAGCCCGTTGCTAGGCACAATGACTCTCCTTCTCGTCGCCTACCGCCCCCATGCGAGTGGTGCTGCTATTACTGATGTTGCTAGTGTTACTGCTGCTTAATAAATTACCACTGGATGTCCATACTCCTACTAAGAAGAACGATGGAGATATCGGTATTTTCTGCTGCTGCTACTGCTCTTCGTTCGTCTCCCAGTGCCGAACCTGAGCGAATATGAGTACATGAGCATCACCGCTCTATAGGTACTTTGGCAGGATTGTTTCTAGTGGAATATTCCTGTACTCCAAGGCACAAAAAGATGGGGCATATCGAAAGAGAATGCAGAAGAAGGCTTGAAAGCTTTCAGAGAGGCTTACTATGTTGCGGAACAAACTTTACTGGGGGCTCGAGATCCTGGGACAACTTTGAACGTGATGTTGAGGCGACCTACGAAGGCCGTGCATGGAATCAGCGCCTAAGCGACCACCGGCAGAGTTCGGGTAAGGTGTCAGAGTGGAATGTTCTGCTTGTCTTTGAATTAATTGGGAAAGTTGCTGCATTTCGTATATATGGGGGTGTTATGTGATCGGTACCTAAGTTAGCGTACGCCGGACACCTACCTGTATGTAGCCGGCTCATCCGTTATAATCACCAACAATCTTCCATCTCAAGTCATTCCACATAGTAAGACATGGCCTACCATGTCATTTGGTAGCATGTCCATGAGTCTTGTTATCATTTGCAAAGTTTACAAAGAGAATGACAGCTATTCCGCGTGCCTTCCTGAAGTGTAGAGTGCTGTTTCTACGCTACGGTGGACGGTACTTATGACGGAGCAGAAAAGAAAAACCTTTCTTTTCCCCCCTTTTTGCCATATCTTCCCCCGTCAGATAAGGAAATATAAGACAAGAGAGTAGTATGGTCCATATCATTGGATAACATGTAAGCAGTAAGAACCTTTGGTGGAAGACAAGAGGCACGCGACCCTCAGTACAGGATTTTACCCCTGGTAGGATATGCAGGAGACTCCGTTCTGCATAGTAAGAGGGTAGATAAAAGGCCTCGGCCCGATCAATGATCCTCACCTCGGATTAGGCCTGGATAGGACTAGTAGCTGGGTTTAGTAGGTGCTGAGGGGGAATAAGAACGAGTAGAAATGAGTATCACTTTAGGGCAGGTGTAACCATGCGGCATTTGTTTGGGACCAAGTCACGAGCAACAACAACAACAGCTTCTACGACCTCAGCCAAACCCCTCATTCCTTTTCCCTTCCCGCTTCTCTTTTCCTTTACGTGCTCTCTCTCTCTAAAATCCCAAATGGTGTCAAATTCATCATTCATTATTTCATTCTCATCATGATATAGCTGCTATCCAGGGTTGAGCCATGGCTCAACCTGGCACTTTTTTTACAACAGTTATCGAATCAGAGCAGTATCAAACCAGCATCCCTTCTCAAGTCCAATCATCCATCTCGATCTTTTTTGGAACGAGAGAACCCTACTCTCGGTCCATTCCCACACTCAATGGACGATCGATCGATCGTCTTGCGTCGGCCGGAGCCTACGCACAGCATGTGGACGAGGTAGCGGTCTGGGTGACTATGTAAGGTAGTCAGTGGCGCTTTTTCCTCCGCGGGCTCCCCATCTTCTCCCTTTCTCTTCGAGCCTCTTTAGTTCTCAACGCCGATCTTGACCTTCTTCTCCGGGGGAGGGATCACCTGCTCCTCGGCGGCACCCTTCAGGGTGGGAAGCTCCGATACGGCCTCCGCGATGATCTCCAAGGACTTCTTGATCTCATCATCGGTGATCACAAGGGGCGGAGCAAGACGAATGATATTCTCGTGGGTTGGCTTGGCCTGGGGGACGAGGTTAGCACCATCCACATGAACAGCTGGAACATTCAAAGTACTTACCAACAGACCCTTCTCCTTCATCAACATACAGAGATCCCACGCAGAGTGTCCATTGGTCTTCGACTCGTCAATGACAATGGCATTGAGCAGACCCTTGCCACGGACGGTCTGGATCATCGGGCTGTTGATGGCCTTCAGGCCATCGCGGAAGACGTGGCCGAGCTTCTCGGCCCGCTCGACCATCTGCTCCTCCTGGACAACTTCCAAGGCCCGGATAGCCACCGCACAACCCAAGGGGTTACCACCATAAGTCGATCCGTGAGTACCGGGTTCGATGGTGAGCATAACATCCTTACGGCCCAAAACACAGGAAACGGGATACATTCCGCCCGAGATGGCCTTGCCCAGCAGGACCAGATCGGGCTTGATGCCGCTCCACTCGTGGCAGAGAAGCTTACCAGTGCGGGCAATACCCGTCTGGATCTCGTCGCAGATCAGGAGAGCGTTGTACTTATCGCACAGGGCTCTCGCCTCCTGCAGGTAGTCCTCATCCGGAACGACGATGCCGGCCTCACCCTGGATGGGCTCAACCAGGAAGGCCGCCAGGTTGGGGCCGGCCTTCTCAAAGGCCTCCCGCAGAGCGGCCTTGTCGTTGTATGTGATGGGCTTGTCAGTGCCGGGAATGTTACACCCAATGCCGGGCAGGTAAGGACCATAGTTGTCACGCGACTCAGGGTCAGATGACAGGGAGATAGCAGCAAACTAAACGTGAAACGGACCGATTAGCTGACTGAACATCTCATGAAAGGTTCCCGACGCAGCACTTACTGTACGACCGTGAAAGTTGTTCTCTGCGCTCAGGACGACCGCCTGGTTCTCCGAAATACCCTTCACCTTGTATCCCCACTTACGAGCGATCTTAATACCGGTCTCGACAGCCTCTGCACCCGTGTTCATGGGCAGAACCATGTCGAAGCCGAAATATTGAGTGACAAACTGGGCGAATCGTGGGAAGACATCGTTATAGAAGGCACGAGAGCTCAGAGTGACCCGCGACGCCTGGTCCACGAGAGCGGCGACCAGCTTAGGGTGGCAGTGGCCTTGGTTGACCGCAGAGTATGCGGACAGGAAGTCCAGGTAGTGACGACCCTCGGGGTCCCAGACCGAGGTGCCCTGAGCCCGGGCGAAGACGACGGGGAGAGGGTGGTAGTTGTGAGCGGCAAAATCACTCTCGGCTTGAATCGCCTCTTGGGTGGAGGCGGCGTGGTAGGCACTGGTGCCGTTGCTTCCACTGTGACCGTTGGTGCCGTTGGTGCCGTTGACCGCCATGTTAGGCAGGAAGGAATCTATTCAGGAAAAAATGACGGGGGGAAGATAGTGTTTTATGATGGGACAAAGGAGGGGATGGTGTTGGTGATTACGGTCAGAGCTGATATGAGACGGGAGAGGGAAAACCAAGGGCTTGCGAGCGAGGAAGAGCGAGTTTAAATAGAGAACAAAGAATTCACGAGAACGACTTTTTGGTGGGCATGAGCCAAGCGAGCCAGAGAATTCACCGAGATATCAAGTAACGAAAATACCACATAGTGGAAAGGCGACTATACCTCTAAGTGCAGGTGCAGCCAGGCGTGATTCCCCTAAGTGCAGGTGTATCAGAGTCTCATACCCCTATGCGCAGGTTTAGCCGCGACCTCCATAGCCTATGATGCAAATCGTCCCATGGTCCTCCAACGATCCACTCTTTTCCTCCTCCTTCCACTCACAATTCGTTCATTACCACCTGGAAGCCGTCGCCCTTCTTCCGCCTTTCCACTTCCGGTTAAGACCCGTTTTGACTCTCTCTCTCTCCAGTTTTCGGATCTAAGTTAGAACGTCTGTGTTTCCTTATCCTTATCTCCTTGACTAGTTGGTTCCTGGTAAGGAGTTCCACCGCGGCTGCAACCATGTCAACTTCGCCACGACGACGGAGATCTCCTTTAGAACTCGCCTCGTCGCGATCGTCATCTTCTTCGTCCTCATCATCTCATGCGTCGTGGACATCAACAACAACCTCTCCGTCTTCTCGCCTGAGGCCACCACCCCCATCAACAACAACATCCACATCACGACCATCACCCGCACGCACAACGACCGTGTCAACCTCTCACGTCTTCCTCTTCCTCATCGCCTTCCGTCTCCTCAATGCCGTGTCCCTTCGCACTTTCTTTCAACCCGATGAGTTCTTTCAATCGCTTGAACCGGCGTGGCAGACTGCGTTCGGCGAAACCCACGGGGCTTGGATAACATGGGTCAGTGGAACCATTTGCGCATCAACACATATCTCCGCGGCATGAAACTAACTGGTGCCAATTGGATCATCCTGTAGGAATGGCGACACCATCTGCGGTCTTCCATCCATCCTCTGCTATTTGCTACAATTTATTCTATCGCCGACCTTGCCGCGCGCGCTCTTCATCTCTCCCCCGCATTCCGCGCTGATCTCCTCATTGTCGCCCCGAAATCGGCGCAGGCCGTTCTCTCTGCTATGGGAGATCTGTATACGTGGAAATTAGCTCGTTACGTGTACGGACGTCGCAGTCATGAAGCCTGGGCTGCTGTACGTTAGGATCCACCCGCTTAAAAGTAATCCCGGAGACTGATCGAGATCATAGCTCGCCTTGACCGTCCTCAGCCCCTGGCAATGGTTCTGTTCGACCCGGACTTTATCCAATTGCCTCGAAACCACAATTACGATTGTCGCGCTCAATCTATGGCCATGGGAATGGTCGTCGGAATCCACACCAACAGTTCAACCGAGGAGGAACACGCGCTCCACTACTAGGGATACGGGGGGAAATAGCACCGGCGATGGAGCTCTTGTTGTCAGGTATGACTAGTTCATTCGATATGGTACCAGCAGTTTTGCTAAGAAAATACCTGTTAGACTGCGCAAGTGTCTTACTCTTGCTGCATTGGCGTGTATCCTGCGACCGACAAACGTCCTGATTTGGATGGGCTTAGCTGGCGTCGCATGGCTTCGGAGCGCTTGGCGCGAACGGACGATCCTCTGTCGCGAGGTTTTGCTTTGTGGGTAAGTTGATTGATGTGCTTCTCAAGTCTAATTACTCACCACTATCCAGTGTCTCTGTCCTCGCCGGATCGATCGTTCTGGATCGCCTGTACTACGGGGTTTGGACGTTTCCCCCCCTCAGATTCCTGTACTTCAACATAGCCCAGTCTCTGGCAGTCTACTATGGGAGAAATGACTGGCACTATTATGCGACACAAGGCTATCCCCTTCTGCTTACGACCGCACTGCCCTTTACCCTTGTCGGCCTATATCGTACACTAACCCAGTCTCGGTCAACCACAGCAAACGCTCGGCACGCGTCTGTGCAAATTCAACTGGCAGCTGTTTGTCTATTCATGCCACTGGTGCTCTCGCTCATCTCCCATAAGGAAGTGCGGTTCATCTATCCGTTGCTGCCCACACTGCATGTCCTGACGGCCCCGCCGCTGGTGGACTTCTTTCGCCCAGCTGTCTCTCATTCAAACAGGGCATACATGCCCAGACGGCTGTCTCTTGTCTTCTTGTTGCTGGTCAACATCACTGTTGCAATTTACACATCTGTATACCACGCATCTGGGGCCATCAGCATTCTCTCGTACCTCCGCGACCAGCAGCAAGCTCACAGCACTGTGGACAAATCCGCATACTCGCCTGGTGCTTCGCAGCGGATCACGGCTGGGTTCCTCATGCCCTGCCACAGCACCCCATGGCGTTCCCACTTGGTCGATCCGAACATTCATGCCTGGGCGCTCTCTTGTGAACCACCTGTGGACTTGAACGAGTCCCAGAAGGCCGTATACGTCGATGAGGCTGACCAATTCTACAACGACCCCAGCCAATTCCTGCGCGAGAACATGGCGGGCGGACTGCGCCATCTACCTCGAACGCCCAACTATCTGGCTTCCTCCAAACCTCGGGAAACCAGCGCGCAAGCCTACCAGCAAGCCACTCCGCACGAATGGCCCGACTATCTCATCTTTTTCGCCCAGATGGAACCCACCCTGCACAGCCTTCTCCGCAGTAGCTCCTACGGCGAGTGTTGGCGCACCTGGAACACCGCTTGGCACGATGACTCCCGTCGCCGAGGCGACATCATTGTCTGGTGCCTCGACTCAAAGGAACAAGCCGCCTGGCGATCAGCGACGCGGAAGCGTACTCTCGAGCATCGCGACCGTCAATTCGATCGGATCGTGGAAACATTCCGCAAGAATGTGCCCGGTCAGCGGAAGTCCTCCCCCTGGTCCCGATGGACATCCTCTCTGTCCGGGCGATCGGCATCCTCGACCTGGTCCTGGCCCTGGGAACGACGCAGACGGACCTGGTTCGGAATCCAGTTACCGGTCTGGAAGAAATCCTCATGGACCTTGCCAGCATGGACGTGGCCGAAATCTACCAAGAAAACCAGAGCCGTTGATCGGGATCTCTGGTCTTAATCATACCTTCTCATCTACGCCTCTTTGATTCACTTCCCTGAATATATTCTATTTTGTATCAAAGTTTTTAGATAGATACCTCACTCAATCTTAGTCTATACTCTTCATTGGTCCTAAGTCTATGCACATAACCAGTCCAGCTCTATATGTAGATTGCCAAAGAGACTAGAAAGAAGCTATATATATACCTATCTATCAAGCCCCCACCAAGCCGAAAGGCTCAGTGATAAGTCAAGTCTCAACTTCCCATCCCATCTCCCTCAACGCCAAAGATGCACAAGGAATGTACTAATACAATCAAATACGCCAAAGAATAACATATATATATATATATCGATCCAAGTTGAAGCGATCTGTAAATACAACACAACAGACCGAAATATTTACCGAAAGCTTTTCCATATAACATATCTATACATATTTGTATGTGTGGAGATATGCATGATCATAAATATGTAATTGCAAATATGTAGATATGTAGGTATGTACTGATAGAATCAACCATACCGCGCACTCAAACTGGCGAATGCATCGGGGCTGTGTCGGCCGTTCTGGAAGGCGTTGATATCGACGCTTTGCTGGCTCATGTGGCCCTGCGGTCTTGAGAAGGCGCTTGGTGCCGCGGGTGGCATGGTGTTGGATTTCATGGGCATTGTGAATGGGGAGGTAGTGGTGTACTGGGGTTGGGGTTGGGGTTGTTGGAGGTATCCTTGTTGCTGTTGCTGTTGCTGTTGTTGTTGGGAAAATCCAGCGGCAGGCGCTTGAGTGGTTAGGAAGGGGTTCCGGGTACCTGCGGAGTGAAGGTCTGTGGGTTGTTGCGGTTGTGTTGTGGTGGCATAGCCAGGGGCTGGTGCCGGTGCTGTTCCCGGGCCGGGAATCGTTCCTGCTGGAGTTGGGATTTGGGGCTGCTCTAACGTTGCCGATGGTGGTGGGGAAAGGCCGTACAATGACAGGATACTGTTCTTGTCCATGCGGCCGGTTGGCTGTGGGGCTAGATGTTGCGCGGACGCCTGCAGGCCAAGGTGCGATTGCGCATGGTACCCCGCACTTTGCGGGGTTGGGGGCGCTGTCATGGGCTGGAATGGATTGTGGGATGCTTGCATCTGCTGGGGTGGTTGTACTTGGAGTTGGGGCGGTTGAATTTGTGGTTGTTGTTGTTGTTGTTGTTGCTGCTGCTGCTGCTGGAACGGCGACGCGGTACCGAACGGGGAAGTGGATGATATGGCCGGCATGGTGTTGGCATGTCGGGGTGGATGAGGATATCCAGCCGGAGCCTGACTTGGGGGTTGCATCGAGTTGAGTTGCGAAGGGGGTTGGGTGAAGAAAGGATTAGTCTGAGGCTGAGCGACGCCGGGGGTTTGGTTGGGAGCTGCAGTAAAGCTGCCGGATTGGAAGAAGGGGTTGTGACCACCATCAACAGGTTGCGGTGACTGCACGACGGCACCCTGGGAGATTGTAGGCATCACAGGGGGGGTGATCGGTTGCTGGTATAGAGATTGAGGGAAAGATGGCTGTTGGTTGGGATAACCCCCGGTTGAATGTGGGAATAACGGTTGCGAGACCTGAAGGTGTTGGAACGACGCCTCGAGCGTCTGTGCAGCTGGTTGCGAAGTAGGAGCATCGAAAGGGTTGTAGGACTGCCCAGCAGGTTGAGCCGGCTTGGAGTCTAACTGATCAAAAGGATTGCTGGAGGCTTGCTGTCTAGCAGTACCATTCGCAGTGGTCGTTTGAACAGGCGTTCTGCCTTGCAGTGACGGGGGGCCCTCCCCCAGTCTGACCAGAGTCTCAATGGATTTGTCGAGATTGCCGTCCAAGCCTTTCAGAACAGCAGAGTTTCGATACTCATTGGTGAAACCCATACCCCGCAAGGTGGCCATCTGAGACTCGTGGGAGGCATTACTACTTCCAACAGAAGCCCCCATGCCCTGTGAGACCGATCTGGGCGATTCATAGGTTTCAGAGCGGGAAGTCATGGCTTGCCGGTTGGACAGTCGATGGAGGCTGGTTGTAGAGGAGGCTGATCGCAGACCAAGCCCATAGGGCCGGGCAGGCTTTGGGGGGAGAGGAGGAGGAGATCCTTCTGGAGAGCGATCATCACGAGTACCTTGACGACTCGGGGGTTTCGGTTTGCCATCTTCAAAGCTCCGGTGCTGGTACTTCTGACGAATAAACCGTTCCATGCATGCATCGGACTCATCAACATCAGCAGGGACAGGGGGCTTCACGTTCCGAGGGTTAAAGATCTTGTTCATGAGGTTGTTTCCGTGCGATTTCATGTTCTGATAAGGAGTTCCCCTCAGCGTCAGCTCCTGAGGACTATACGGCAGAGGCTCACGCGACCACTCACATCGACTTGTTCCGCCGTCCAGCTATCCATACTCAAGGACTTGACCTTTGAGATATGAGTGCCCATCTTGCGGTGCAGCGCGGCGCACCGCATGCAGAGGAAAATACCCATCTATACACATTATGTCAGACTCCTGCATACCTCCGGCGCGGGGGAAATTTGCAAGCACCAGCTGGTGACGATATACGTACATTCCAACTGGCCCATCCTGTGAAGAAACACCATAGGTTAATATCGTAATTTTCCAGAAGCGCAGCAACCAAGACATTTCGCCGGACTCACCTGGATTCATTGCTTGGCAATCGGCGCATCGGTCATTGCCAGGAACCGACCGAACGAGGTCTTGCAGTGCCCGCTCATTGCGGAACTGCTGACGTTTGCTGATACCGGCCACCATGATCGCGGAAGGTCTCGGCGAGGGCAAGAAGTTCCTTGAATTTCCCCGCACAGAGACAGTGATACTTGTCTAAGCCCGTCAGGGGCAAGAATGATAGAGGAGAGGAAAGCGTTAGTGTAGCGTTAGGGGATTCAAACATGGCAAACGGGCCGAGCTTCCCGAGTACAAGCGGTCGGAAATGTTTTAGGCGAAGAGGCAAATCATATTTTCTTCGACCGAATAGTATTTCTTTTTTTTTTTCCCTTTCTTCTCTGGACTAGCTGATTCCCGCGATTTCGATCAATATATATAGGTACCAGGGGTAACAGTAGATCCAAGGAAGAAGAAAAGGACATATATATATATATGTGTGTGCGTGTGTCGTGTCGTCGAGGAGTAAAAGGAGTGAGTGGGTGTGGGGAAAAGCCAATAATATGATATTGATCATTAGTGGTTCCTAAGGCATGGAATTACTACATTGGTCCTCCCACGCTATCAAGTCTCCATCATTCTTATAGTGCGGTTTTTTTCAGGCCCAAGGTGGGTTCCTCTGCTTTAGTAAACCGGAGCAAATGCCCATTTTTGAACCCTTTTAGATTGAACAATCATCACTAATTCAAAAGAATCAATGCGACTCTAATATTACCACATGGACCATGCTTACACGCTATTTTTAAGATTGACCGCTAACTCATCTATTCCACCTCTTCACTATTGATCTGTCGATGTCTATTCATAGCCTGAAACAACAAGGGTCCCGTATATAGAACAGTTCTCCACTCATATCAAACAGCAACTGAAGCAGAGCAGCACAGAGAGAACTGGAAATGTATGTACTCGGACAGTCTAGAAGGGAGAAGTGGATTAGACACACATAGCTGAGGATGGGAGATTTCTCTTCAAGTGGGATAGCATTCTTCAGTTCCCATCTTCATGTGTATACCGTCATCTCTAACCTCTTCCCTCTTACGGGTCGTCTGAGGCCGTACCTGCTCCCCAACGTCTCCGGGCGGAAGTACTCCTCAAACAGGCCGGACTATAAGTGCTTAGACGAAGACATGGCTACTTCAAGTCCGTGGGAATGTATTGAGAATAAACTACCTAAGCATTAGAATACAAGGGGATTGTCCAAGCTCGTTAAGTTCCACCCAATCGAGTCGTATGATATCATAGAAGAATGAGAAAGAGAGAAATAAAACCATAAAAGCAGTCGAGAAACGGGTAAATAGCTGACGAGATAGCTTCCGCCCCCTCGAAAAGCCAAATCGCTAAGGAAATCAGAAATCAAGTACTGTTCTACACAAGGTGAGTCACCTGGAGGTTCTGCACAGAGTCATTCACCTCATGTTCAGGCTGGGGAGGGTGATACAAACACTGGCCGACTAGGCAGCTGCAGTGCCATTGACGGGAGCTTGTTGGTAGTAAGCGTAGGGGTTGGGCTGCGGCGTGGGAACCGCGGGGGGCTCAGGGACGGGAGTAGCTTGGTTGGCGCTTGGAGGCGCTTGGGCTTGGGCTTGGGCCGCGGCGCCGGTCTTTGCATGAGCAACAGATGCTGGGCCGTGGACTTCGCGATCCAGAGTCATGTACTCCTTCGCCGCATCCTTGGTCCCTCGCTCAAGCAAGTAGACCATATAGATCTGCACGAGTTCTTTCACTGCATCTGGAGTAAGAGTGCTCTTGGACCGGATGTCATCAGTGACCTGCTTGATGCGCTCGTACTGGACGTTCTCCGTCTCGGAACTTGTGGGCTGCTCCAACTCGAATGTAAGATAACTCGCCCAGAATGGCCGGCTGTCAAGGTAGAACTGTTGGTTCTGTTGATACACCTGCCGGGCCTCCTCAGCCGAGCCCTTGATCTTCCAGAGGAGTCGGGCCCATTCCGCAACAAGAGCTGCCTTGGTGGCCAAGTCACACTGCGGTGAGTCGAGCTGACTCTTGTACACCTCAATTGCCGCCTCGAGGCCACCGTGACGGCGAGACATGTTGGCCAGAGATACAATAGTTTCAACGTGATTTGGGAGATGAATGAGGATGGCGCCGTGAATTTCTTTGGCTACATCTACCCGTCCCGACATCTCCTCAAAGTAGGCATACTGAAGGCGAGTAGCCGGGTTGGCAATCGGCACATACAGATAGCTTGCGCGCTGGTAGATGTTCCGCACTTCCTCCTCTTTGCCAGACTGTCCGGCCATCCACCGGGCATAGCGTTGCCAGAACTCGTCGTAGTGGGCACATGTGACCAAACAGCGCTCATACAGGAACTGAGTCCGTGAGTATGAACCCTCGGCCTCTTCAAAGTCGAGATATTTTCTCCAGTTGGACAGCTGACCCTCATCCAATTCAGTCACGTGGAAGTATGGGCGCTTGATCTCGGACTCATATGTCCAACGCTTTGTGGTTTCTGTCTGTGTCTTGGAGAAGATTTCGAGGTGATAACTGTCAACACGCAGTCGGATATCCCTCTCGACCTCGGCCTCGGCCTTTGCGCCCGGAGCAACATGTCCGGCAGCAGCATCAAGCTCTGCACGGAACTGAGACAGTGTCTCTGGAGGAGCTAGCTCTGCGACGGGACGAGTCTGCGCGAGTTGCCTATAGCGCTCGAAGTAACGAGCATATTGATGCATTGGGATGTGGATGACACGGCCAAGAATGGCAAAGATCTTGTCATAGGCTTCCACTCGCTCCTCAAACTCGATATACTTATCCCAGAATGGGTGTGCAAGGAAATCTAGGCCAACACTGCTAGCACCACGCTCAAATAGCCTGCAAAAGTCAAGATACGTTAGCAAACTTAAGTTCGCCAGCCACAGGTTTGGGGATGGGAGGGCGAGAGGCAAAGGGAATTGGCAAGGATGGCAAACATGAGCATTTAATCTTCAGTGCGAGCCCAAACAATTGAACGACTAAGGTGAGCAAATATTGTGAAAACGTTTCCCCCGTCTGCATCGTGCGCAGAATAGGATCCACCGGACAGAGTCACTGGGGTTGATATCCGTGCAAGGAATGATGCTTGATCTCAAAGCAACAATGTTCAAGGGCAAGGAAACAGCCTGAGAATGTCATGGGTGAGAAGTAACTCCAGTTGAATCCGGGTCAGGCAAACATCTCACCCATCATTGAAGGGAACTGTTGTCAACGCTTTTTGCACTATGCGGTTTCGACACCACAATAATGTCCGTGCTGCCTTGGTAACGGTTACAGGAGGGGAGGAAGGAAAACCAGTTCTAGTATACTTACTCTCGAATGACGTCGGCATCGTGGGAAGTCTCCGCCTTGAAGGAGCAGTAGTTGGTCCAAAGGTCGACGGATGGAGAGATGCTGGCAACACCTCGCTCGTAAACCTACAGAATCAGCGATGAACATGCTGGAAGAAAGAGTATAGACCGATAATCCATACCATGTCTGCTGCCTCCGTTCCTGTAATAGAAAATTCCAGATCGGCATATTTCTTCCAGTATCCAAATAACAGTGGAAACTTGGCAAGGAATCGGTCGTAAACATTTCGGACGGTGGTGATAGCTTGAGGGTTGGAGTTGCGGTTAATTCCTCCTTCAAGCGCCTCACCAGCGCGAACGAGTCGTTCCCAGGTCTCGAAGTTATCCGGGTCATCGAGCTATATTTGTAACAGACTGTAAGTCATGGGTCGCATAGGCCTGGAACAGGGAATAGACGTATCATACCAACTCGGCCTCGAGCTTCCTCAACTCCGCATTTTCCTCCTCGGAGCCTCCATAGTTATAATCCGCCATGATGGCCGTCGGTCGTGGACTAATTACGGCGCTTAGTGATGCGCAAGGTATGGAATCACACTCAGCGATGAGAGATAGCGATCCCGGTGCAAATCGAAAAGGGAGACACAAACAAGACAGGCAACGACAGGAGAATGGACGTTAGGTTCCGCAAGGGAAGAGATCTTGAACTCTCCAGCCACACCCGCGCCCGTTTTTACTTTTTGCTGAGCCTCACCCGAAAGTGGCTTAGCGCCCATTTCAATTTCAACACGGACGAGCATCTGGAAGCACTCCCCCGTGATCAATCAACAAGATCCCATTTTCACCCTCTGTCCCGATCGGAATTTTATCTTGCCCCGGAAAAGAGCAGGTGTGGTGTGACAAACCCGTCCATCATGTCGACCACCCAAGCAGCTGGCAGCTTGGCGAGCAAGCTTCCTCAACGACTACGCAACTTTTTTGCCCGCTATCCTCCGCAAATCTATTCCGCGGCCGTTGCACCACGCCCAGAGCCCACAGAGGAAGTCAAGGCAGAGTCTCTGCCATCACCTTACACACCCAACAGAGATGCGAAAGGCCACAAGCGGCCAGACCCCACCGAGTACTCTCCGTCCCGAGCTCTCCTTTACTCCAACCCAGATCATCCCAACCCATTCTTGCCTCGCAAGAACTTCCGCACGGGCAAGTGGATTGGCCCCCGATATGGGCTCCGGGCACAGGCCGATCTGGTGAATCTGGCCAAGAAGTACGATGTTGAGGCTTTACTACCTCCAGGCCGCAAATCGACCGAGTTCAAGGAAACGAGAAGGGAGGAAAAGGGATTACAGATCAAGGGTACCGGTATTGGACAGAAGGTCAAGGGTCACAAGTGGGAGCGGACAATGGAATCTCGCTTGGAGGAGAGACGCAAGGCTATGATGGAGATGCCGGAGATGATTCGGTTGTGGAAGCAGGTGAGTTTTCAGGTCCGACGGGGGAAAGATTCCTCAAACGCTAACATTCTGGCTCGCAGAGAGGTCACGGCCGTGGCTGGAAGCAATGGCCCAAGAGGTAAATGCTTTCGTGGATACCTTTTTCACTACTGTGAGATTTTATGTAATGTTATATCTTTTGCCGGTCCTCAGATCGCACGGCTCCACTGATCATTGTCGGGTTTTGGACGGGAGTTATAGTTCTCATATATGTACAAATAGATATTCATTAAACCTGCACATTGGACGTAGATGTACTGTCCATCTTTCGATAAATCATGCTACTTATGTTATAAATACATTTTTATAATATAAATAGATACAATAAAATAATGCTTCTTGATGGATGATTCTACGGCAGGAGAGCAAAGGCTTTAAAAGCGATGCATTAATTCTTTATGACTAGTTCAAGAAATCTGCGGTGTCACAACATCCCCTACCATAACAGTGCAAGTTTTAGGATTACCAGCATCCTGCGAAAGCTCCATCTTAGATAGGGAAGCGTGTCTCCCAAACACGATCTTGCTGTTGATCTTCCTCGTCTTTACCAGGGTTGAATAAGGCTCCTCTCGACGGGTGCCAGTATATGGGTCAACGCAGACCATCTGACACCGTTGACATGATCCGAGCACATCAAAGTGCAATTGTTCCGGCCCAACAGAGAAAGACTCCCAGGTGTCTTCTATATATGGACGTTCCGCGTTAGCTAGCTGGTGAAGATTCTCGGCGACAACAATGTTGGCGCGGAAGACATCGGCTTCTACGGCCCTCGCTGGAGTGCTGTGGCTAGGTCTGGGACTGTACTTGATGTTTTCGTTCAGACGATTGACTGACGAGCGAGAAATGAGCAGGATTGGGCTCTCATTGGATAGGAGGATTGGTGGTTGTTCAGGCGTCGGTGATGGGTCTTCTGGAAAAGAGCCAGGCATGAGGGCTCTCTGAGTCCTTCTAGGCGACCGAGTGGGATTTGAAATCCTAGTGGAAATCTGTGGCGGGAACCTTGCAAGTGTACACGGTACACCAAGGAAGTTGGAGAAGAAAGACGCCACGGTAGGTGAGGCATATGCCTGGACAACCACTCGATCACCGCAGACGCTGGAGGATTTCGCGCTCTGACACAGCGAGGTGGTGACTAGATTAGTGATTTCGCGGCGGAGAGAGACCTCCAGCTCTTTTGGATCTGACCCACAGGTAATGCGTAAAACACCACGCTCCAAGTCAATGACCGGCCGTATCAGTGCCATGCGGGGATATTTCTTCATACTGAGAGCGGCACCAGTACCCTGATGGATAAGACACCACTCTCGGTCCCATGCGAGACCTTCTCTTTTGATCTCCCAACGTTGACCCTCGGGAACCTTGAACGCTCCACAGCTCTTGATTGGATACACTGAAAGGCTCTCCACGTAGAAGCTGGGTTCTTGCAAAACAACTTCCATCGGCGGTACCAGTGATACAAGTTCCGGTGTCTTCTCGATGTAAAACTCGTCAATGAACCTCGTGAATGTGTCAATGTCTCTGAGGTTAGTGACCGCACCGAGACTGATTCTTAAAATGCCGGTCGGCCTCCCATCCATGACGTCGTGATCATCACCACAACGCAGTCCAGCGGAGAAGTTACGAAGCAATTCAGACCCAGTCCAGCCAAGGTTAGTTGCCGTTCCTCCCGGGTTGCAGTGTGATCCTGACCGGATATGAATCTTCTTAACATTCGCGAGCCTCTCAACTTCGGACTTTCCCACCCAAGCACCAGAGCTATTCCGTATGTTGAACGCAATGATCGGCCCTTGAGTGAAATTGTCAAAGTCTGATTCAGGGGACATATACAAATGGCAGACTTTCTCTCCATTGAAATGGGTCATCGCGGCCAACCGGTTGTTCAGTCGCTTTGCCAGGTAGCGCGTGTGGGACGAGACATTGCTCATCGATCCAAAAAGACGCTCATGTGTAGACAATGCCGAATCGAGGGCAATAATATTATGAAATGGCAAAGTACCATCCTCTAAGCGCTCGTGGATCGTGGATTTCCTTGCATGCCACGGCGTTCCTTGGGCCAGGACCATATCCACCGTCCCGCCGCCGAAGAACTTGCGTTTCTCAAGAATGCCCGCTGCCCTTTTCCGCACTATGAGGGCACCGAGATCGGGGAATCCGAAAATCTTGTAGAAACTGAGCGCCGTAAAATCCGGCGCAGCAGATGCGTCACTCAGGTCAAGGGGTGACGTGGAAACGAGAGATGCAGCATCAAGCAGGGTATAGACATTTCCTGCGCCCGAACTCCCCTCCCGGATCTTCCTACACCACTGCATAGGAGAACGGCGACCATTCAAATTCGATTGCCCAGGGTATGCAAATAGTCTGGGAAAGTTCTTTTGATCGGTAGCCAAATCCGATATCCACTGCTCAACCTCACCACCGGTCAGGAAGCACCTATGCCCCTTTTCCGCAAGCTCCCGCGCTCCTACCAAGCTCGTATGCGCATCTATAAAGTATCCATACCAGAATCCTTGAGATGATGCATCTCGGAACACATCTGCCACTAACTTGATAGCAGCGGTAGCATTTGCTACGAATACGAGATCGAACTCATCCGGATCCGCATTGAAAAAGCGGAGTGCCCTGAGGCGGATATCATCTACACGCTGCGTAGACAGCTGGGATGATGCAGATCGAGAATGAGGATTGCCGAAAAGGTTCGAAGTCAGATCGTGTGCGAATGAGTCGATCAACGACTTGGGATACAACGTTGTGCCGGCATGGTCTAAGTAGGTCGTATCTTGATACAATGTTAGCACAACTCTGGATATGCCTTAGGCTTCTAGAGTTCGGTCCCAAAAGGCCCACCTTTGAGAAATGGATACTCCCGCTCCCGGATGACGTCCACATCCTCCGAGTAACCGGTACAGTATTCCGCACGGCTCTCGGTTTGGCTTTTGGCTTGCATGGTACACGTAGAGATAAAGTCAAAGATATTTGCGCAGTACCAGTGTCACTTGCCAGCGACCAGCGGCCTTTATAAATGCCCGGGTTCAGGAAAGAAATGTGCCGGCAGAGCAAGGATCAGTGGCGACAGGTGACCTCGTGAGGGATAGAACGCTGGACCTGGCCAATGGTCATTCGAACTTCTGGAGACAACATCAGGCGTGACAGCCGTAGACGCTGATGATGCAATGTGATCCAGGTGCTATATGTGTAGCTTGGTCTAGAGGTCGTGATATAGCGCGGATTAGCGGTGGGATAGGCAGGAGTCGGGGGGTGCTGATACGTGCATGGAAAGTTGCCATCGGAGGTCACCGAGGTGGAACTCCTCTCGTCATAATCTTTGGTCTCTCGTTGCAGCGACGCAGCGCTGACAATTCGGGGTGGTCGGATAGAGGGCCATGTAACCCTAGCTACTAGAAAATGCATCACGCTAGATGCAAGACCGAATGAGGATTTCAAAACTAAGAGTCACATTAATTGAGACAAGAGAAGTGATGGGAAATTCAGCTGCCCCACTGTTCACGATTGATTTAATCCTTATCAGCCGCGGGGCGATCGGAAGGGACCGTCTCCGGGAACTTAGATTGGAGGAATACCCGCCACGCTAACAGGAACTATATCCTTCTATCACAAATGTCGCCGCTTGAGGCTGCCTGAGCAGTTCGTCACTAAATGAACTATACTCTACCTCGCTCACGAACTAGTGTAGGGATCTTCCCGGTAATCCACATGTGTGACCTGCAAATGCCAGTCCGGACCAATGGATATATATCTCGGGTACCTAATCGTCTAGCTGACGGCCTAGTGCTTAGGTGAAAGCATGCTCCAAATTACTATTATCATAGAAAGTTCAATTAGGGAGAAATCATGTGTCATAATATCACAAGGAAAGCAAAGCTGTGCAGGATTACGCCGAATCCGGTGGAGTCTGTGAAAGGTCTGGCTTCGAAAACAACATACACATAGCATCACAGGATCAAAGAAGAGCACCGGACACAGGCGATCGCAGCTATGGAATGGAGTCCAAAGTTCAATAAACAGAAACCGTGTCATCTTTCAAATAGTATCATAATATCATCACATCACTATCACATCGCGTAGTTTCATTACCAATCTTCGTCTCTCTCCCGGTGGGGGCGTCATTTCCTTTTCCCTTTTTTTCCCATTTTTCATTTCTTTTTTCTTTTTCTTTTTTATTTTTTTGTGATTTTTCCTTTAGCGCTTTTGGCGTCCCATTATCTATGTCATCCAAGTCATATCCGTAAATCATAAACTGTTCGAGGAAAGTAATGCGGAAAAATAAGCGAAATGGAGGAAATATGATTAGACCACATATTGCGGCCGGCGATGACTGGAGCTCCGACGATGTCCATGTCCACGCCGACTGCTGTGACTTCTCCTTCGAATTGTCGTTGTCTCCTTAACAACCACATCGGACCGACTGTGCAGAAACAGCGCCCAAAAGGCGGTCCAGAAGAAGAACACAATCTCCATGATGCCCAGCGCAAAGCAGGTCTTCAGCATCGCACAATGTTTGTTGACTTGCAGGGCCAGCGGGTTGCCTGTGCGGTAGCCATAGGCTCCAAAGGGGCCAAGGGAGACCCACACAGAGCCCCCATCCCAATGGGAGCAGTTGGCATTTGCGATGAAGCGCAGTTGGTAGACCCCGGCAATGAAAGCGCCGAAGAAGAGGAGGTCGACGAAAGCGACAAAGGCGGCTGAGCGCTTGGTGGTCGCGTGACGGATTAATGTGTCAAAGCACCAGAAGACTGCGATAGTGCTGACGATGAAAAGCACGAGGATGTAGGTCGGGGTGATTACATTGGCCTTGAGATATCCGTCGATAAAGTACGCCTATTTGGAAGTTAGAATCTAGACTCATGCCAGTGCAAACAGACAGCTTGAGGAGGGGAAGGGGGATGTGAGTGGTATGTCAGCCTTACCAGCATTCCAATGATTGGTATCAGGAAAAGAATCTCCACCAGGCGATTGCAAATGAAGAAAAAACTGCCGATCATCTTGATAGCCTTTCCACACGACGATCGTCGGTGCCAGCTGATTCAGAGATGTGAGTAGAGTTCCTCGAGACCGATTTTATGATACAGTTGAATGGTCACAGTTGAGTACGGTGACTATAGCGTCATCCCAGATGTGATAAATAGGTTTCTCGTATAATGGGCCGTCGCCAGAATTGAAATCGGACCTGGCGTTGACCGGGAGATGGACCGTGTGGTTTTTTCTAAATCGCCAACTCAACCGCACGAGGAGAGACAGAGTAAGACTCTATACAAAGCAGTTATGCAGGGCTCAGAGTAAAAGGAGCTTAATGGAAGGAAAATAAGAAGAAAAATATGCAAGTTGCGGCCATGGTCGAATGAAGGTGGCTGGTAAAATGCGACTGCGGGGTGGCTGGGAAACGGGAACATTGCGCCCAACAAACGACCAAATGATAGATTAGTACCCTAGAAAACATGTCTCTGAAACAGTTAGTGCGACCTCATACAGATTCTGATCAATAAGAACGACACCACCCCTGGTCAATCGTCCTCGTGGTGCATCTGCAAGCAAGTAGTTGTTCCCTGACGCCATTGTGTGTTTTGGGACGTGGGGCGGCCACGAGGGTCTGGAGCCACGGGTGATGATCCCTAGCTTATCTATTATCTATAAATCACCTATTTTTATCGCATCTTAAAACTACTACCAACAAGTAGACAAGTGAGACGGAAAAAAGGAGTTCTTATTCCAAACGCCATTATTCATACATTTCATGCGGTATCACAGAGGGTGGGAATGCAAATCAGGTGCGATGTCTAGAAATCGGAATATCTTCTCCTAAAGATATATACCAGCCAACTATGTCCATAGCCCAACCCTAGACAATTATGAAATTTCGTAAATTACCCTAGATTGCCCTCGTCATATCCAAAAGAAAATCATGATGTTCGTGGCACTGGCTGTAAGCCAGAATGTTTCTTAAACCTAAGCTTCAGCTTAAAATGCTCGCGGTGGTACATCCGTCAATTCCCGTTCGTCGTCAGAGCGAACGGTCGTCATCGGTGGTGGATGGGACGCGCTGACACCTGTAACTTGAGGTTGTATCTGGGAGTGATATGACGTATCAGTCTCGTAGCGAGGAAGCTGTCCGCCGTATGTCGGATTTTGTGTCCGAGCGTAACCATGTTGCATTTCATATCCATCTGCAACATCCTCACTTGAAGACGACCAATGTCCGTCATCATCGCGGCTATACATATTCGTGGCGTATGGGTTGTTAGCTGGAGGCATATACCTTGAGGCGCGTAATTGAGTGGGATCTTGAAAGTCAGGAACGCCGGATGCATTAAGCCTCTCCTCCTCGGGATTCCGCAGCGCGGCAGTGCTTTCGTTAGTGGCCACAAGAGGGGCAGTATCGCTTGGGGCGACCGGATCTCTACCCCAAGACCGAATCGGATAAGCTCGCCCCTTTTTCCACGGCTCTGTGATTGAGGGGAAGTACTGGCGATACGCGATGTAGGCACAGACAACGCCCAGAAGCGAGCCGGTGATCACATCAAATGGATGGTGCCTTGCGTCCATAATCCGACTCACTGCGATAAGAGTGGCACCAATACAAGGAATGATGATTATAATCGCCTTCCAGACCTCACCCCGGTTGTCCATGAAATGTAGCTTCCCGCAAAGCCACAGGGTCAGATAAAACAATCCGGCAAAGGAAGCTAAAACGATGTCAGTAAAAGATCACCTCTAGATATAGAAGGTTCCTCACAGCTGCTGTGCCCTACAAAAGGAATTAGCATTCTGGATAAAAGGGCCATATTCGACGATATTGGTCCATACCTGAAGGCCAAGAACGAAAGCCATCCTTGATAATCGCCGGATCACCCGTGCAGATTGTGTAATTCGACAAGCCACGAAATGGATCCTCACTTCCTGGTCGGGGCTGGCATCGATCGATGATATCTGGTCTGGGTTTGCCGCAGGCATTTTTGAGAACCTGGGTGATGAGGAACGCAAGGCCTTGGGACAGTAGAAGGCCAAGGAAACCGCAGTTGAACTCCCACAGCCGGTCTTTGAACCGGTATGGACCCGTCAGCTTCTTCTTTCCAGAAGCCGGGTCCACCGGTTTGTTGTGAGAAAACAATCCATCGATCAAGAGTGTATAAACCGCAATGATAATCAGAGGAGCCACGCCAGAGATACAAAGGGCGAGTGGGATGGACACGCGCTCATGGACAGCGTAAGGGTACATAAGGGAAATATTGTTCAAGGAGAAATGCTGATGATATGGCTCAATAGAGTCGATGATGTAAAAGCCGGCGATACATGCGCTACAGTCATGGCATTATCTCGTTAGCATGGTCTCGGAGAAAAGGTGTATATCAGCTGATCTTAAGGTGCACGAACACAAGAATCACATAGTCAAGGATGTATCTGCGAATGCCGAAATATGGTTAGCAACATGTGCATAACGTGCTTTGGGTCAGAATTAGACCGAGACCCACGAGATAACAATGCGCGGCCTTAATCGCCGCTTGGAGAACGGCAGTTTGGAGGGAAGGTGGCCCATTTTGGTGGTGATTCGTTGGGATCAGATCTAATCATAAAATCTCCGTAGAGGACCCCTAAGGATCAGGTTTCTCGTCAGCTCCTTTGGACGGCAAGGGCCACGACGCATTATAGCTGCGGTGAACACACCTGAGTTGTTAAGACAGCTTTAGCGCTACACACAAGACGGAGGATTCCAGGTAACCGTGATCCTGCGCGGTGATAATCAATGAAGGAATGTAGGCCCCAAAATGAGGTGAGAGTTCATGTAAGCAAAAACAAAAAAGAAATTCAAAGAAAAAGAAAAAGAAAAAGAAAATCTGGATAAATACAAGAAAGAAGATAGAAGGATCATATTTGGTCGCGCATTTACCTCAATTGGGTGCCGCCTAAGGCAACAGGCGAGTGAAGTGGCTTGGACGGCTGAGCCCTCCTCTTTTCAAGATGTGCCCAGACTCCTTGGCCCCACTGATGTCCAGACTCCAGACCCTAAGCGGTATGTACGTACGTGACAACCACCATGGTTTCTTTTTCTTACGGAGTAGCAAGAAATACAAGTGTGGATACGCTCTATGTCTGTCACATACTCCATACAGGCAGCCATATTCGCAGTGTCATGTATTGGTCCAGTACGTTACCATGTTGCTGATCGCTAAGGCTCGTCCGTTGATCCCCATAATAACCCACTCAGGAGGCTTCACCAGTCGTCAGCAGATCTGCAGATGGTTTTTTTTTTTTTTTTTTTTGTTTGTTCCCCTCAAAATTAAAAGCACGCTCTAATCTTGATATCATGCCACCACTTTGTTGGCTTTTACTCTTTGACTTCGCCGAAACAGTTCTTACTCCCGACACAGTGGTTCTTTGTACCGTCCTTTTTTGTTACAAAAAAAGCTCTAAGATAGAATGTAAGAGGTAAATTATATTCGAATAAATTAACCCTTGAGCATTGTAATATACACTTCAAGGACTTAAAAGCTAAGCAAGTTTTATCCATTCGAATACCGCATTAGAATATTTGTCCAGCCTGACTTCCGAAAAGAAACGATCTTGTTGAAATCTGAACATTTTTAAATGATTAAAACACATTGAGTCCGTGAATCATGTTCGCATTATGCCAGACTGTTAACTCTAGTCCGCTTACTCTAGCAGACGGTGATGTATAGACCGAGACTAGAATTTGTTAGCTATTGCCTCTGTTAGATCAATGATACTGGCAAACTTACGGGGATGGGTTGTAGTCTTCGAAGAAATCCAGCTCGGTGCTACCGGAGTTCTTCATTTCGTAGCTGACGGCCTGACCAGCCGGGCATTCAAACGTTGAGATGAGGTAGGAGTTGCCAGGGGAGATAGTAAAGCCCCCATAGTCTTCCTTGATTGCCGGGGCATTGTTGTAGCTGGTAGACTGGGTAGCAGCGGATTGGAGGGAAGCGAAGTCAACCTTACCGTCCCCGCTGAAGGAGTAAGACGAAGTCTCAAGATCCTCCTTCTTGGGGAAGAGGAAGACAAGGCTACACGTCTTTCCAGCGTCAGAGGAGGGGATATCGAAGTTGAAGATGGTCGAGACGGTGGACGAGATGGTGCCGTTGTAAGACGTGCCAGCGGCCGTATCAGGTGAGGAAGAGTCGATAGGAATGATCAAGTGAGGGTATTCATATTCGCCAGAGAGATCCGTGGGGCAGCTTCCACCTGCAGTTGAAGTACCAGACGGCTGGACGCTAGTAGCAGTCTGAGAAGGCGGGCCACTCGTAGTTCCAGGGGTGCCAGATGTGCCGGGAATAACCGGAACACTAGATGTGCCAGGGACTCCGGGAGTAGCAGAAGTTCCAGGGACACCAGGGGTTCCAGGAGTGCCAGGAATACTTGGTACAGGAACAACAGGCACAGTCGATGACTCGGGGCAGTAGGTCGAGGTCACAGTCGTTTGGAGAGTGACAACAGATCCACTCGACCCAGGAACATAAGGTACAGAGGCACTAGAGGAGGGACCGGGAACGTAGGGAACAGAGGCACTAGAGGTCGGGCCAGGGACTGGAGTACTGGAGCCAGGGACTGCGACAGAGCTAGAGCCAGAAGCAGAGCTAGAGCAAGAGTCGGCAGACAACTTGATATCCTTGCATTCAGTTACATCAGAGCTCTCCGTAGTATATATATTCAACCCGCCGTTCTGGCCAGTCGCACATGCAACAAAATCCGCATCACCATTGTACGAGACCTGACCCTGCGAGTTGATAGACCAACCGGTCATAGGCGTGGCCCCCTCATCACACTGGAACTGTGTAGTTGGATCTACAGGAATTGTTAGTTAACCGAGCGTATTGTCAAAGCTTGTGAAATGCTTCCGTACCAGTAATAATGCATCCACGACCGTTTCCATCCGTGAGAGCACCCTTGGAGTCGATGCAAAACTGAGCTTCTTGCAATCCACCGTGGATGCGGTTCTGTCCATCATCAAGCTGACCAACAGTTCCAGACTCGCCACCGGATGCAGTTAGATGGAAACAGCAATTGTTGCTCCTGCCAACGAAGGCATTGGCACCAGCAGCAAGAGCCGCAACGGTAGCGAAGTTCTTCATATTAAAATTAGCGAATGAAGCCACTTGGTGAAAACGAATGGAGCAGTCAAGCCTTTAAGTAAAGACCGTTTTGAGATTATTCAGATTGAATTGAAAAATAACAATGAGCAGGACAAGCAATATTTATAAAGACAGATGGGAACGAAGAAACGTCATAAAAGGTCCGGTATACCAGACGAGGTAAGTCAATCGAATCTACCAGCTCCACATCCATGTAGATTGAATAAATAGAAACAGATATGGCCAGTCACAACGCATAATGAAGAAGTAGTGGACCATGGATAGATGTGGTGGAGGCGCAATTGACTGGGTGAACAAGCTGACAACTGTCCGGCAAAGCCGGTCAGGCCTGGAAGCTTCGGGATTGCAAGGAAAAGATGAAAAAGATGACGACGTCATACAAAAAAAAAATCACCGTGGAGAAGCAATCCCATAGAGGAAACAAATTGAGAGTTGGCTCTGAGATCGAAGTCATATCAGTGGCCAAAAGCAGTGTAGGGCAATGGACCCGCGGTGGATCCAGCCCCATCGGACGCCATGCCCTGATCAATGACCCCGATTACACGGTTCGAAAAAGGCACTCATAGTAAGCCAAGTGGCAATAGTGCACCATCCACGGTACAGCTTTCATTTCTCAACCAAACATAGGCTCAAGAGTGTCAAGGCCACCATGGATCGCCGATTCTATTGATAAACAACCGCACAATAGACTAAGGCATTATAGATGGAATGGACATTCCGATCAAAGACGTACCGAACCACTGACGCTCCTACTATGTAGTAGAGACGAAGTGGTGAGGGGTGTAATATTCCCAGTGTCCTTCAAGACCTTGCATCATAATGGCTTCTTGCACCACCACCACCACCACCACCACCACACACGGAGTACTGTGACGTGTGAGGGGGCTCTGTCGTTGTGGTTAATTCGGTCCATCAGCCGTAGCGAACGGCATGGACCCTAACTCCATCTAAGTTATTTCATGGTGGATTAAACGATGGGTATCAAGTTTGAGGAGCGATAGAAGGGAAACAATTTCCCCGGATAGAATAAAGTGGGGAGTGGCGTCACATTCAACGAATGGCAAAACTTCTGCTTCTGACTATTCCTCTTTTGTCAATAGAGATCCACCACCCAAGTCATCATGTTGACGGTCAACCCTCTTTCGATGGGGAAGGTCTCAACGTCGATCAGGCTCGCCACGTAATGTCAGACAACAGCCTTCTTCATTGTTGATTTCCCTTGAATAGCATTCTTGCTAGGCAACCTCTCTAGTTCTACGTAATCTTGGGGCATTGTGCAATCATTGCCTCAGACAACTATCACCATCCCGGTGTATATATATCTATATATATAGAAACACGACTGGAAGTTAGCCCTAAACCGGTAGTATCCCTTGCATTGACGTGTATGAATCTCGTTGTGTGTACTTTGTAGTACAGAAGTCTCTGCAGGCTTTTCCCCAATGTTTGGGCGACCTTGGTTCGGATTTACTCCACATAAAATCCATGCCTCTTGGTAACAGCCCCATTCTATTATCCTGGTACTCTGTCAACGCAAGCGTCCAGGCGTTCCCCATATTTCCTCTAGAAGGATACGAAGAACTGTCGGTCCCTCAAGGGATACACGGCCTAGGACTCCATTGTTTACCCAACACATCTGAAACACCTATCTAAAAAGATTATAGTACGATTGGCTACCTAGGCCTCCTGTCCGTTAGATTCAAAGAATTGCACTAGCTAGAGTGCCCCCGCTGTTATCGATAGTGGCGTGCATTAGACTACTCTCCAGCCCAGACAAGCTCTCAAGGGAAGTAAACTTTCCGTCACCTTGACAGCCAAGATAATGGCCCCAGTAGGAGCGGCATGGCGTGTGGCCCTTGCATTTTGAGGCAGCGAATGCCGGTCAATCATCGAGACTTTTCTACACCGGGGCTTTTTCTTTCTCTGCGGCTGTGCGAGTCCAGAGCAGAGGTCTTGCATACGCGTGCGTAATCAGGGTCGTTTAGGGCTACTGCTCCAAACTCAACTCCGTTGCCCTGGAGTGGTACGCCGTCAGGCGCTCCATGTGGACCATTTGGGAGAGGAGACAGTGCCTAACCTCGTAATGTGTTCCTGACTCATCAAGCGAGAACTTGATAGGCAAAATTTGCCAGTAATCGAATGTCATATGCATCATAGCATAAACCTTGCATGTTAGTTTCCTAAAATATTAATCTACTAAGGACTAGTAGTATATGTTCATCCTACATTCTGTGAGGGAGGGGTTCCCTGTGTCTCAAATGTGAAAAGATTAAGAAGGGAAGGAGGGGGGGAAAGAAAAAAAAAAGCACCGTGACTCTCTATATAAATTTCGTACTTCAGTGGGTGTGGAGGACTAAAGACGAGTTGTAAACACTTCCCGGTGTGGCAAGCCGTGCGACTACCCGCACCGCTGTTCCTTTGTTCTAATAAAATGCCTTGTTCCTAGGTTTCTTGGTAGGATGATTCTTATATAGAGGATCTGCTGGGTAGTTGGCTCGATAGCAAGGGTCTCTCTTACTCGATTTCATGATTACTCACTCCTTCGGTCATTTCGCAGTAAGAAACGTTTTGCGGAAAGTATATAATATATGTTTCTGAGCCCAACTCCCTGTCTATGAGCTTACATCACTCTAAACAAATTTTGTTGATGTATGAATACATACTTGGTAAAATATCTACCACCAAAAGTCATGGGAGGCAGAAGCAGTACAAAGTGAAAGGAAATAAACCTAGAATAAGAAATTTTCGAGCAGCTACTATGTACTGTCCGTTGACCATGC